ATGTTCTTCACTGATGCTCTCAGAAGCTCCTCCCCGTTGGGCAGTGTCCAGGGCATGGCGATTTTGGGGTACAACAGACACTGAATTACTAACTTCTTATTGGAGTGCTTCCTATGTTTGCATAATAATGTTGAACCCTTGTTCTATTACTATGGAAAGATTTAAGATTGCCTTTTTATAAGTTTCAAATGCTGGCGAAAGGGATCTCCATACTGAAAAGAACTTAGTGCACTAGGGAATGAGTTTTGTGGGAGTCAGGGCAGAGCCAGTTATGTTTTAGTTCTTTAACCATCCCCTGGCCACACACGTCCCATCATCGATGGGAGATAAGTGCAAGCCAAAAGATAAAAAAAAAAGGGGGGGGGGCACAGGTAGTCCATTTGGGCCCAGTATTTAAGCTGTCTGAGAATTGTTTGGCACCCTTTTGTATCCGTTTGTCTTTTTCAGATTATGGGACATCTGCCTGATAATCAGTAATATCAGTCACAGATAAAGACAGATTGACAAATTGTGCAGGCAAAAAAGAGTCGTTTTCGGCTGCATATTTTGCAGTCATCTCAGTACTATCATTCCCTAGAGCTATAGCATCAGTGTTTTTAGTACAGGCCGCTCAGGAAACCACAGTAATTTTTCTAAGGAGGTGAATAGCCTGTGTCTCAGTCCATTTTGTGTGGCTATAACAGAATACCTGAAATCGGGTAATTTAAAAAGAACAGAAATTTATTTCTTACTGTTCTGGAAGCTGCAAAGTCCAAGATCAAGGCACCAGAAGGTTCAGCCTCTGGACTCAGGATAGCATCTTGTCACTGTGTCCTCCAGATAAGAACATGGCGTTCTCACATGGCAGAAGAGCAGAAGCAAGTGAACCCACCCCAGCAAGCCCTTTTCATAGTGGCATTAATCCAGTCATGAGGGTGGAGCCCTCACAACCTGAACATCTCCCATTAGGCCACACTTCCCAACATTGTTGCAATGGGGATTAAGTTTCCAAGGCATGAACTTTGGGGGACACATTCACACCATAGCAGCCTGCAATAAGGCAGCAATTACCATGTTTCCCCGAAAATAAGCCCTACCCATAAAATAAGCCCTAGCAGGATTTCTAAGCATTTGTGCAATATAAGCCCTACCCCAAAAATAAGACCTAGTGATGGGCGTGGCTACGCAGCGCATCTGCACAACCCATGCATTTCATCACAGGGCGGTAAAGAAGACGAGCAGCCCTTCTCATCTGCCCCATGAGAGCTCTACTGCTCAACATGAGAGATTGGGGCCGATGGTTCTGAAGGAAATAGAGTCGCAAGAAATTCAGAATGGAATTTAGGGTTTGGAGAGTGATGATGATGTTCCAGAAGAAGACGACTTAACTATATTTGAATAAATGTAGATTGTTGTACAGTACTTAAAAAAAAAAAACACACATCCCCTGAAAATAAGCCCTGTGGTGTCTTGTTGAGGAAAAATAAATATAAGACCCTGTTTTTATTTTGAGGGAAACACGGTATATGCCCATTGGCCATAGGAGTGGCAGCAGAGGTTAAGAATTCATGGGATTTCCAGATTATGCCAACAGCATGGCAGACTCCAACAGCATATCTGGTCAGTGTGAACAGTGACAGTTTTTCCTTTTGCCAGCATGCAAGCTCCTGTAAGAGTTATGAGAGCAGCAGCTTGGGCTGACTGTATAGTGGGCGGAGATTATGCCTCAAGTGTTTCATGTTGGGAAAATATGGCATAGGCCAGTTATTATGTTGCCCTGGAAATCTAATCTACAGGAGCTGTCAGGGAATGTAAGTAGGTCTGGGTTGTTTAAGGGGGTTTCTAAAAGGTCCTCTAGTGACGCTGAGACCATTTCTATAGCTGCAAGCAATCATGGAAGGCAGCGTGGCTCTGCGTCATCCGGAAGGGCAGTAGAGTGGTGGGATGTTAAGTGTTACGATGACGAAAGATGATGGAGGGAATGGTTAATGAGGCCCGTTCATAGGCGGTCTGTCACCATGTAGACAGGTGCTGTGCCTCATGAACTTGTAAGACAGCAGATGCAGCATGAGGAATTATTTCGAAACTCTAACTGGGAGGCCATTAGACTGGGGTGGCTCTGGCACTTTAAATCCCTGTGTAAACAGTAAAATGAAACTAGAAACTGTATCAGTCAGAAACTGCCAACTAACCTCTAACTTAAGATTTTCCACTCCAACCAATCAAAATTGCTTTCCTTGTATTGCTTTTGTGAACACATTATAAAAGTTTCACCTCTTACCCTTCTAAGAGAAGTGCTAGCCACCTATGGGGTGGTGCTGCGCCAATCTGTGTATCACCGAATGCTCAAATAAACTCTTTAAGAAATAGGCCGGGCGTGGTGGCTCACCCCTGTACTCCTAGCATTCTGGGAGGCCGAGGGGGGCAGATCGTTTGAGCTCAGGAATTCGAGACCAGCCAGAGAAAGAGTGAGACCCTGTCTCTACTAATAAAATAGAAAGAAATTAGCTAGACAACTATAAAGTATATACATATAAAAAAAAATTAGCCAGGCATGGTGGCACATGCCTATAGTCCCAGCTACTCAGGAGGCTGAGGCAGGAGGATCGCTTGAACCCAGGAGTTTGATGTTGCTGTGAGCTAGGCTGACACCATTACACTCTAGCCTGGGCAACAGAGTTAAGACTCTGTCTCAAAAAAAAGAAAGAAAGAAAGAAAGAAATATACTTAAATTTACGTTTTAACAGATCTGGTGTCAGAAGTGGGACCCAAAGGAGCCCCTACCCCCCATTGATGACCCCTGGAAGCAATGAGCAAATAGGCATAGGTACCCAACCAAGCCCCTTGCACTCTGTTTGTCACAGCACCTTTAAAGGTCATCACTGGTAACTCCCCTCCAAGAAAAGAAAGTAATTTTTGTCCTAAAGTAGAGGGACCGATTCCTCCACAATGGGAAAGAGAAAGAATATAAGACAACTACATAGATATAAAAAGATTATAAAAGATTTGTGAAAAACAAATTTTGAAAAGGAATTTCCTATGTGATCAAGCTGGCTAAGATTGGATGGGTTCATTTATAAAATTGTATTAAAATTAGCTTTAGTGGCACACTAATACAAAACTGTAATTTGATCTTCTCTGTTGAAGTGGTAAAGTTTTGTTAAAGTATGGTTCTGATAATGTGAAGACTTTTCTTCACCCTTTTAAGTGATCTTCTTAAGGGGAATAAAAGAGATTCAGTATTTTATCAAGGTAATTTCTTGTGCTTTATGTCATTTTTTATTAGGTCTTTTGATTATTTAAGAAAAGTGATCCTTCCAGGGTGTTTTTTTTTTAAACAACTATGTAACTTTTCTGGTTTTGGCTTTAGTGGTTTCATAATGACTGGTTATCCTGATTAATCAAGTGCTTTAAACCTTTCATAATGGCCAGGCGCGGTGGCTCACGCCTGTAATCCTAGCTCTCTGGGAGGCTGAGGCGGGCGGATTGCTCGAGGTTAGGAGTTCAAAACTAGCCTGAGCAAGAGCGAGACCCCCGTCTCTACTATAAATAGAAAGAAATTAATTAGCCAACTAATATATATAGAAAAAATTAGCCAGGCATGGTGGCACATGCCTGTAGTCCCAGCTAGTTGGGAGGCTGAGGCAGGAGGATCGCTTGAGCCCAGGAGTTTAAGGTTGCTGTGAGCTAGGCTGATGCCACAGCACTCACTGTAGCCTGGGCAACAAAGCAAGACTCTGTTTCAAAAAAAAAAAAAAGATGGTAACATATACTTTTACAAACAGAATTGAAACATTTAACATTTTCTTCCTACCTGATCCCTCCACGTATCAGAAACTAGTGACTATTTTTTTATTTTCAGGTCAATATAATTATCTGCATGAGTTCAATAAAAATAAGTTCTTTTTATAAAAGAACACAAATGAAACTACTGGATATATGACCAAGTCGTTCACTGGGCTGTCATATTAGAGAATGAACATCCGAATACCTGTCTTGAAAGATTCCCAGCCATACAGTGAGTAAAAATGTCACTTCCTGGTGGGCCAAGGAACCTTAAGGCATTTTAAGGACCTCAAGAGAAGAATTCACCCAAATCTATAGGTGTTACACATGCAGGCGGAGTCCTCCAGGCAGTCGCTCCTGGGCAGTGCAGGAGTTCTTCAGAGAGTAAGAACTGCACTGCCTAAATTGGCATTGCCTTAAATGACTTTTCAAGTGAGTGACACAGAGGTCTTACATTGTATCATCGCATGTTCGTATTGAAATACATCAAGCATGCGTGGTGCAATCATGCAGCTTCTTATGACCCATGTTATGTAATGATATTATAATTCTCCGCTAGGCAGAGATTTTAGTATGACAATTAGCTAAAGGGAATTACAGGTCAGCTAAAGGAGTCCTAAAGCAGTCAGGGCTGGCTTACACAGGTTGCCCCTGCCTCGAGGAAAGTGCTAAGGCAAGTCTGCTGTGCCTTGTAACTATCTTTTGACATTTGCTTACTCTATTTTGTAACAGTTTTGTTGAGCATTCCAGGCTAGCATCTTTGTGGGGCGGGAAACCTGCATTTTTCCCTCGTCCTCACACCTGGACCATCCTGAAGGCTCTTCCACTGCCTCTTCTCATCATCCAGCTTGCTAAAGGAAACCCAGCCCGGGCGGATGGGCAGGGGGGTGTCCCCAGTGGGGGAGGCCCAGGCAAAGCAGAGGCACTGGGGCGTGAGCAGCACAGGGCTGGGGGAGCAGGAGGCAGCCCTCAGCACTCCCGGGGACAGCTGGAGCCTGGAGCGGGGGTGCCATGGGCCTCCTGCGGCGGCGCAGCCTGGAGGAGCAAAGACACATGTCCAGGGAGTTTGACCTCCAGGAAATGTCACTCGAGGGTCAGGAAGGAGGCATCTGTGTCCTGGTTGAGGCATTCTGCCCGGATTACATAGGAATGTTGGGGCCAGGCCTGAAAGGTGGCCTCATTAATAACCTAACAGAGGAAAATAACCCATCTAACAGAAAAGAAGGGACACAAACCACAACACAACTATGCTGTGTTTAATTAAAACACCTGTGGGTCTAACTTGTTATCTCTGAGACTTCATTTTCTCAGCCTTGAAGAGCCCTTAGTGGGCAGCAGGGGTGCGAACTCCCACTTCAGTTCTCGCCAGCACCAGACTTCAGTTACTCATAACCCGGCCTCTTGCAGCAGGAATAGCTCTGAAAAAAAAAAAAAAAAAAAACGTAATAATAACCCAGCCTCACAGAGAAAAGAAAAATAAAACACACCTACAACAACTTTGCCTCCACTTCTGTTATCAGTCTGCTCAAGTGGAGAGAGAGAAAAAAAGCCACCTTTACCATTTAGAACAGCAGCCACTTTTCTTCAACCACCCGGCATTTGGGCTCCTTTCTCTGTGTGCCATGGTCACTCTCTCCTCTCTCTCTCTCTTTCTTTCTTGGGAAAATAAATAAACTTTTCTTTTTTTGAGACAGTCTTGCTTTGTTGCCCAGGCTAGAGTGAGTGCCGTGGCGTCAGCTTAGCTCACAGCAACCTCAAACTCCTGGGCTCAAGCAATCCTCCTGCCTCAGCCTCCCGAGTAGCTGGGACTACAGGCATGTGCCACCACCATGCCCGGCTAATTTTTTGTATATATTTTTAGTTGGCCAATTAATTTCTTTCTATTTATAGTAGAGACGGGGTCTCGCTCTTGCTCAGGCTGGTTTCGAACTCCTGACCTCAAGCAATCCACCCGCCTCGGCCTCCCAGAGAGCTAGGATTACAGGCGTGAGCCACTGCATCCGGCCTTAAATAAACTTTATACTTCTTTCTATCCTAAACTTTGTCTGAGAATTCTTTCTCACCCATGCCTCAAGCACCTAGTAAATTTCCACCCTTTCCAGGCCCAACTTTGGAGCCGTGCCTGGCGTCAAAGCAGTCAAAGCAGTCACCACCACTCTAGCTTCAGGGTGAAATGTCTGGACACGCCCAGGGAGCCCAGGGGACAAAGAGCAGCTGAGAGCAGTCAGTGCCAGGCATTGCCCCGGAGGCTGGGAAAATGGGTCGGAGGCTGGAATTATCATTGCCAGTGGGAGGAGACCTCTGGATTCAGGGGATGTGATCAAAACTAAAAATGCACAAATCCTTGCCCCACGGACAGCTGCACTTGCAAATGATGATAGTAACAGGAACTGCTAGAACTCACCGACACCTGCCTACTTCACGCCAGGCATTGTGACAAATGCTTTACATGTATATAACCTTGTATAACCCTCACCACCCTTGAGGTAGGTACTATTATCCCTATTTAAGATGAGGAAACTTAGCCAAAGAACATTTAAATAACTCGCTCGTACATGTGAACTGAGGCACAGACAAGGTTATTCGTTGTATCATTGAAATCACAACGGGCTGAACACAGCACAAGTGCCCATCAGCAGGCAGCTAAGAACATTAAGGTGCACGTGCTCAGTGAAGGATGCTGCCGTCAAAAAGAACGAGGAAGCCTGCACCAAGCTCCTCCGGAGCACTCAGGGTGGGGCAGCTGCGTGCAGCTCTCTCTGCAGGAGACTTTTGTCTATTGCTCACCTGTGGCACATGGAGAAATGACACTTCCCCATCCCCTCGTATTAGTGAGGGGCTGTTGGACGTGTTCAGATCAACGGGCGGTGGGCAGAGTGGTGTGAGTCACTTCCAGAACAGAGGAAACCCCAGCACAGTCCTACCCCCACTGCCACGACCAGTGGTGCCTTGGCTGGTGGAGGCTCTGCCAGCCTGGTCCCCGCATGAGGACAATGTGGAGCAGAGCCCCCAACTAATGTGTGCTGGACATGTGGTGTGGCTGAGAAACGACCCTGTTGTCTACACTATGGCGTCTTAGAGGCGTTTGTTACTGCAGCATAACCTGGCCGTGTATACCTGTCTATATATCCTCTGTTCTCAGCTCGGGCTAATGGAACCCAACCACCTCCCAACTTCATCCTGCCTTTGAACTTGGTCAGGGAGGGAGATGAGAAAGAGATAGCTACGGCTTTGGTGTGGCTCCCCCAAAACTAGACCACTCTGGCTCCCCAAGACCAGGTCCTGAGAACTGGCAGTGATGCGGAAGTGAGAAACACTCACTTGGGGACGGAAGGGTGGGGAAGGCACCAAGGTGAGGAAGGTGAGGGAGGTGATAGGAGAGCGAAACTACAGGGCTCAGCTCTCTCCTTGGCACGGGCATTTGGCTGCAGGGGTGGAGAAAGTGGAACAGACTAAAGGGGCCCTGCCAGGTGCTGGGGTGCCCTATCCACGGACTGTGGGCACCACTGGTGTCACTCCTGGGTACAGTGCCAAGGCCTGGAGATCCCCACAAGGAGACTCAAGCCACTGGGGCATGCCAGGGGTGTCTTCAGAGCTGGGCCAGGCCTGCTCCGTCCGGCCCCAGCACGTTGCAGTTGCACACCTTGTCTCCTGCATCCCAAAGGCCACGTCCCTGTGGACCACCAACGACTTTGACCTGCCCCCCATCTTCTTCCCACATCACACCTCCCTCACTTCTCTTTTGAAACTCCACTTCCCCTGTGGCTGGTTCTAGCTGCCCTCTGTGAAAACACACAAAGACCAACCAAATAAGAACAGGCAGAGCCTACTTATTCTGAGCTTGCTATGACAGGGAGCCGGCCGCTGTCACTTGGGTTTGGCAGAGACTCAAAAGCAGGCCAAGGAATGAGAATGCCTTAGAGCAGACCAAGGGAAGGCTCAGGTGCGTCCTCACGGGGGCGGGAGGGCCCCAGGAGGGCGCTGGAGGCAGCCACGACATGTGGGAGGAGGCGGACTGGCTTTCTCCAGTTGGTCCTGAGTTGGAAGTGGGGGCAAAAACTGGGGACGCCGGCAGTCATTGATCAAGTCCTGGCCATTCTGGGCTGGCTGTGACAGAAGTTATTGTGTGGCCTCCTGAACTGTCCCTAGAGAGACAACCTGACCTAGAGCGGGCTGGCTCCCTGGCTCGTCGCTGCAGACAAGTGGTTGGTTTCCCGGCTGCTGCCAGAAGTCGAGGGTCCCAGTTCTGTTTGACCTGCGGTCTGGCCATCGTGCGCCTGTGTGTGCAGGGTCTTGCTTCTCTGGAGACATGTGGCCCCAGCCACACCGACTGCAGCCTTTTCGTCAGCATCTGAAGCTTGAGCGGAGAAGGCAGGAGCCCATGGGTCTGTCTGCCTCTTGAGGAACAGCTCCTGGCCGATTTCTGGACTGGGGGGAGGGGAGCTGGACCCTGGGTTACATACAGGTCTCCGGGCGAAGCTTTAGACTGTGTCACCCATCGGAACACCACGATACAAAGCCAGTGGCATAGTTTGGTTATCTGTCCCCTCCAAATTTCATGTTGAAATTTGATCCCCAATGTTGGAGGAGGGGCCTGGTGGGGGAGTGTTTGGGTCATAGGGGCAGATTCCTCACCAAAATCATGATACCATCCTCATGGTAATGAATGAATTTTCACTCTAGCACCCGCCTTCTCTCTCTTTCTCCCCCCTCCCACTTCTTCTCGCCATGTGATGCCTGCAGCCCCTCACCTCCCGCCATGAGTGGAGGTCACACAGGCATCAGGCAGAAAAGGAAGGTCCCTAGTGCAGCCTTTTCGGCCGGTACTGGACCTTGACCCCCCTGAACAAGAAAGTCGTCAGCAAGTCAGGGCGGGTCCAGGGTAGGTGAATTACTAAGCTGGATGGATGCCTTACTAACCGCGCTTACCTTCCTGCGACAGCAGTTTATGACTAATCTTTACGGCCTGACCTCAAGACAATGCTGGGCATGCACGGCTGTTTCCTAACGGAGTCTTCGAACATTTAAAAACGTTACCATTGCCCCTTTAGGTGTCCCTACTTGGGAAAGAACCTCTCCTTTGTGGAGTAGGATCTCTTGTCTGTCTCTCTCTCTCGATAAACTTTCTGTCGCCAGTTGGCTGCTCTCGAATTCTTTGCAGCATGAAGCCAAGAACCCATTTGTGGCATTCAGGGGGTTTTCCTCCCTTCCCCGGTCACCCTGCGTCAGAAGCAGCCCGAAGCCCTCACCAGAAGCAGATGCTGGCACCATGCTTCTTACCCAGGCTGCAGAACTGTGAGCCAAATAAATCTTTCTTTATCAATCACCCAACCTACTGTATTCCTTTACAGCAGCACAAACAGACTAAGACAGCCAGTGAGACAAACAGCACCGCCTCTAGGGCAGGCAGTTACAGCAGGCCCTGAGGCCCTGGGAAATTGCATGACTCAGGTTGCCAATCTGTCCACATCTGCCGGGGCCTGGACCAGGGCCCTGGGGACTAAAACCCAAAGGCTTGGCTCCTCGAGGCTCTGCATGGTACTTCGGGCTGGCTCCAGCCAAGGTGGGCAGCCCTGAAGAGCCCTGCAGAAGGATGCTCCCCAGGGGCCAAGTTCCAAGGGGACAACCCTCACTGTCCACCTTGCCAGGAAAGACTGAAGTCTAAGGTCGGCATCCACAGTCCTGGGCGGGGGCCAGTGCTCAGGAACTTGCCATTGGCGTTGGGGTGTTGGTGCAAAGGTTTAAGGAAGGGGCTTGGCGGTGGTCCACGCAGGCAAACGCGCATGTCCCCTGGGAACGCTGGCCCAGAGGACCCTGCTTCATAAAAAGGCTCCTAACAATTGGAGTGTGGGGAGGGCACCTAACACTCAGCAGGAGACTGTCCTGTCCTGTCCTCTGTCCTCCTTCCCCAGCCCACCAGTGCCTACTCAGTGGGATTTCGGGCACCTGTTGGTAACTAACTTGGTGGCTTCACTCACCATTTATTTATTTTTTTTTCTTTATAAATAAAGTTTTATTGGAATCACTCACCATTTATTTGCTCGCTATCTGCGAGTCACGAATGCAAGCAGCACGCAGGCCGCACAGCCACCTGCGGCGCGAGCGGGGCCCTTGGACACATCCAGCGAAAGGCAGGGAGAAGGCTCGCCTCGCAGCGCCGGCCCCGCCCCCTACGGCCCCGCCCCGCCTCGCTGGCCCCGCCCCGCTCCGCCGGCCGGGCCTCCCGCGCACGCGCAGTCAGCCTCACAGGCTGGGGTTGGGGGGAGCGTGGAGGAGTCCTCTCGCGAGAAGTGAAACTGACACGAGATGCCCCCAACAAACCTACCTGAGGTTTGCAAGCGCCTGTCGCTCACAGAACTTCCCGTTGCCTTTCCTGCGCGCTCCTGAGGCGACAGACATCAACGCACAACAAATAACTGCCATATATTTGAGAGGAATCTCTATCATGAAAGAGGGAGACAATAATAAACAGAAAAAAGTCATTCCCAGAGGACCGAGGCCATGCAGGCTGCACATGCAAAAACTTCAAATGAATTTTAATCAGTGTCTTCAGGGAAAATAAAAGGTATCACATCCAGAATATAAGAAAGAGAGGCTATTGAAAAGAACATGCGGAGGAAAAGAAGGAGCTCTTAGAAATTAAAAATATGAGAGCAGAAATGAAAAAAATCTCAGGAGATAGTTGAAAAGTACATATAAAAATGGAATAAAAAGGTAAAGGCATGGAAAGATAAGAAAAATAGAGTATTATTTGAGGAGATCCAGAGAGAGGGAAGGGCAGGAAAAAAAATAGGGAGGAAATGATCAAATGAATATGATACAATTTCCCAGGGCTGAAGAACACGAGCCTTCAGACTGAAAAGCGCACCGAGTGCCTAGCACAAAGAATGAAAAAGGACCAAAGACTGAGACAAACGCATATCATGAAATTCTAGCGCCTCCAGAAATAAAATGGAGACCCTGCAACCTTCCAGAGAGAGAAAAACAAACAAGTCCCACACCACAAGGAATAAGGAATTCAGGTTTGCATCAGATTTTGGGGGGTGATTTTAAAACATGTCCACAAATACTTTTGAGACTTCAGCGTCTCTGTGCCCTGCCATGGAAGCTGGACTGGCTTTTGAGGCTGCCTTTATGAAGGGGAATGCAGAGGAAGTGATGTTGTGGGGTCTCCCAGGCTAAGTTAGAAAAGGTCACACAGCTTTGCAGTTTCTCTGTGACAGTCATTTATTTATTTATTTATTTACTTTTTGAGACAGAGTCTCACTTTGTTGCCCAGGCTAGAGTGAGTGCCGTGGCGTCAGCCTAGCTCACAGCAACCTCAGACTCCTGGGCTCAAGCGATCCTCCTGCCTCAGCCTCCCGAGTAGCTGGGACTACAGGCATGCACCACCATGCCCGGCTAATTTTTACTATATATTAGTTGGCCAATTAATTTCTTTCTATTTATAGTAGAGACGGGGTCTCGCTCTTGCTCAGAGTGGTTTCGAACTCCTGACCTCGAGCAATCCACCCACCTCGGCCTCCCAGAGTGCTGGGATTACAGGCGTGAGCCACTGCGCCAGGCCAACAGTCATTTATGACAGTAACTTTTTGACAGTTATTATGCAAAAGGTCCAGCTACCCTGAGGCTGCCACAGGGAGGGATGAGAGACAGACAGAGAGAGAGAGAGAGAGAGATGCCTGAGGAGCCTTAGCTGTTCCAGCTTCCAGCTGTTCTCCCAGCCAGGTGCCAGCCTGGTGAGGAAGAGGCCCTCAAGGTGACCCCACCACAGCTATCATCTTGACTGTGACCATGAGAGACCCTGAGTGAGAATGGCCTAGTTGAGCCCATTCAACCCCCAGATTCACACCATTGCAAGGTGTCCTCAGAAAAGGGAGATGAGAAAGAGAACAAGGCAAACACATCTGCTCCCAGCTGCCCAGACCTGGCAGTGACACACTCTTGCCTTATTTGGATGCAAGAGGCTGGGAAATGTAGTTTAGCTCCGTGCCCAGGGAGAGGAACTGAGTTTGTGATATCCGACCAGGCTCCACCACACACCACAACAAACCCGTGGATGTACGGGAACTTGGTGTGTAACAGCAGTGACATCATAAATAAGTTTTCAAAAAGACTTATTTAGTAGATAGTATTAGTAAAACTGATTCAGCATATTAATAAAACCTACTCCTTTTACCTCGCATTATACATTTAATAAAGTCCAAACAGATCCATGATTTTCCACTGGGGGCAATTTTGTCTCCCCGAAGACATTTGGCAAGGTCTGGAGACTTTTTTGTTGTCCCAACTTGTGAAGTATGGGTACCTAGGGACACTATTCAACATCCTGCAATGCATAGGACAGCTGCTCACAGCAAAGAGAAACCCTTCTACAGGGTTTACCCACATGTGAAAGAGAAAAATAAAATACTAACAAAAAAAAATTAAAGAAAATTCCTTATGACCTTGGGATGGGTAGGCATGAATTTCTTAAACAAGGCCTCCAAATGAATGAACTTGATCATATTAGAACTGAGAACCTTTCTTTTTTTTCTCTCCCAGCATATTGTGGGTGTACAAATGTTAAGGTTATATATATTGCCCTTGCCCCCCCTCCCTGAGGACTTCTCTTGTTAAAAAAATTTTTAATTGACACATTGTACTTGCACATATTTATGGGGTACAATTTGATGTTTCCATACATATATATTGTATCAAATCAGAGTATTTAGGGTGACCATCACCTCATGCATTTATCTCAGGATTGATCTTGTACAATAATCATTATTGTTTATCAGTTCATCAGATAGATGATAAAATCACAGGAAATATTTGCAACATTTGACAGGAAGAGGGAGGATTTGTGGCTTATAATGCAGGAGTTGGTGTTCCCACTAATCTCTCAGAATCCCCCAAATCCACAAAGACCATGAAAAACCAAAAACCGTATGCTACATGTCTTATTAAAGTAGGAGATATCACAGGTGATTATAGTTAGGAGCTTCTACACACCAAATGATACACCTGGACATTTGTAAAGCAAAAGCTAACAGGACTTTGGCAGCTCTAAACCACAGATTTCAAACTCTGCGATAGGAAAACACAGAAGGCACCATCCTTTCAATTGCTCTTGGACCATTTACTATAATTACCATATATCATGCCTCAAATAAAGTTTTAGAACATTCCAGAGAGAGAGGGAGAGAGAAATAGTACAGACAACAGTCTCATTATGAGGCAATAAAACTAAGAATAACAAAACCAGGAAACAAAAACATCCTAACACCTGTACATGATAAATCTCTCTGAAAATGACTCTCATCAAAGAAGAAATCAAAACCAAAATTGCCAAACTTCTAGCAAATTTTGATGAAGATGCACCATATAGCAGAATCATCGGCCTACTTTTGTCTGGATCACTACACTTTAAGATGAGGCTTACTACCTGGCCGGGCAGGCCCCTCAGCACCCTACCTTGCTCTTCTTCAAAATGGCCTGGCCATTCTTGGCCCTTTGTTGTTCTATACATTTTAGTATCAGCTTTCCTGGTTCCATGAAAAGCCCCGATGGGATTTTGATCAGCATTTGCAGTGAATTTATGGATTGACTTAGAGTGATGTGACACCTTTATAATAGTAAGTCACCCCACCTGGTGAGGCCCCTGCGCAGCTGAGGTGATGAAGGGCCACGTGGGTGATGAAGGAGGAAGGAAGCCTTAAATACTAGCCGAGGCCCCTCCATGTCCTTTTGGCTTTGAGTTTTGCATAATGGGAGGAAACTGTCTTTGCAAGCAAGGAGCAAAGTGGTCACAGGAGGAAGAAAATGAAACAGAAGACAAATAGCTCAACTTGACTTTAAGAATAAAAACTCAACAGGTTTTTTTTTCTTTTCTTTTTCTTTTTGTTGATTGATAAGATGGGGCCTGATATTTCTAAAAACTGAAGGCTTAAGGAATGAGGAAGGTGAGTTTCACATTTCTAACAGCTTAGGAGCGGCGTGGAAGAAGGCTGTAAGCTCTTCTTGGTGCCTGTCATCCCAAGTAGCCATCAGGGCTAGGTTGGGTGAAAAAGAAGAGATTAGAATTTTTGTGTTAGGGGACAAAGGGAGCGTAGGCAGGACTCCAGGGGACAAGTGGGGGATGGGCAGAGGACCAATGTGGGAACACTCCAGACACTGAGACCTGATCTGCTGGGTATCTGAACATCCGCCTGCTGCAGGGAGGTGCCAGGAGGAGTGGACCCAGGGACTGTGCTGGTATCTGGGACCTGTGCTAGAGACAGAGTCTCATTGGAACTCCCTGATTTGCAGGAATTTGCAACCATGTCCACTGCTTCAGGACAGCATAGGCCAGAGAGGGCCCCGAGACGCGGGCAGGATGGTGGGGAGTGGCCTCACAGGACTCGCGCTCGGAGAGCATGCTGGGGCCCCTGCATGGGCCAGCAGGGAGGCCTGGGCCAGGCGACATTAACTGTGCCGCTCACCTCAAATGCGCTCACCTTGTGCTACGTGTGTGCCCCGCCAGCCGTGACTGATTGGCGTTACTCTCTCCAGTTTAAATTTATGGGGGGGGGGACAACATAAAACAGGCAGATTTCCAGTTCAAGACAACAGAGTACAACCTGAAATCCACTCTGTCACTCAAACACATCAAAACCAGAAAAGAAAAACATTTTAAAAATGAAATCTCACTCTAGCCTGGACAACAAAGCAAGACTCTGTCTCAAAAAAAAAATAAATAAATAAAATAAAATAAAATAAAATAAAAATGAAATCATGGCTGGTCCGAAGGTCGTGAGTTATCTCACTTGATTGTTCACAGTCAGTTACAGATTGAACTCCTTGTTCTACTACTTTCCTCCCCTCCTCACTACTGCACTTGACTAGTCTAAAAAAAAAGAAATCTCGGCCACACAGAAATCCCAGGCAGGCTGAGCACATGGGCCCTGGGGCCAGGCCCTCCGTCTGTGCCCGGGGGTGCCGGGCAAAGCTGAGGACTCAGGACAACAGCCTGGAGCGGGGAGCCAGAAATGCCCTGCCAGGGCACCGGCACACGGGGGAAGGGCAGAGGGAAGCAGTAAACTTTCTTTCTGTTGCATATTCATCAGGAAGATAGAGATATGAATTAGCTTTTGCTGGGAAATGAAATTTAGGTACCACTTAAATATTTAAGGGTAACCACTATAATAGAAGTAAAATGTATCACTTCCAAAGCAGTAGTAGAGGAGAAGAAACTAGCACAAAGAAAACTCAATTAATTGAACAGAAACCAGGAAAATGGGGGGGGGGAGAGAAATAAAGAGAAGGAATGCTAAATAGTAAACACACTATGGTACGGTAGATGTTAAGTCCCAGGAGAACAACAATAAATGCAAATAGGTCAAAACTCGCTTCTTAAAAGGCAGATACTGATTGGATTAAAACAAAGCAAAATGAAATTTAATTATATGTTCTTTTTAAGAGATACTCTTAAAAGAAGATGGAAATAGAAAAATATTTACCTAATACTAATACAAAGAAAGCAATATTACTATTAGAAACATAGACCTCAAGGTAAAATCATTAAAGAGGTAGAGAAATATTCCATATTAGAAAAAGGAAAAATCCGTCAAGAAAACTTTCTTTAAAATATAGGTGATCAATGTGGCTCAAGGAAATAGATAAATAACCATAAAAGGGTTGGAAATAGTGGTCAGATCATCACTAAGCAGAGGTCCCAGCTCCAGATGGGTAAGTTTCAGTCATGCTTCAGGACATGGATCATTTTTTTTTTCTTTTTTGGGGGGACAGAGTCTTGCTCTGTTACCCAGCGTAGAGTGCCGTGGTGTCAGCCTAGCTCACAGCAACCTCAAACTCCTGGGCTCAAGCTATCCTCCTGCCTCAGCCTCCCGAGTAGCTTAGACTACAGGCACATGCCACCAACCTGGCTAATCTCTTTCTGTTTTTAATAAAGACAGTGTCTTGCTTTTGCTCAGGCTGGTCTTGAACTCCTGAGCTCAAGGGATCTCCTGCCTTGGTTTCCCAGAGTGCTAGGATTACGGGCGTGAGCCACTGCACCTAGCCTAAGGAAACTGATACTTTTTTTAATTTTTTTTTTTTTTTTGAGACAGAGTCTCACTCTGAGTGAGTCTCACCCGGCTAGAGTGAGTGTCGTGGTGTCAGCCTAGCTTACAGCAACCTCAAACTCCTGGGCTCAAGCGATCCTACTATCTCAGCCTCCCAAGTAGCTAGTACTACGGGTATGTGCCACCATGCCTGGCTAATTTTTTCTATATATTTTTAGTTGGCTAATTAATTTCTTTCTATTTTTAGTAGAGATGGGGTTCTTGCTCTTGCTCAGGCTTGTTTCGAACTCCTGACCTTGAGCAATCCGCCCGCCTCGGCCTCCCAGAGTGCAATTTTTAACCTCAGGAAACTCTTCCAATATGTAGAAAAAGGTGGAAAGTGGCCCATTTCATTTTAAGGGACTAGCATAATCTTGTAGCAAAACTGGACAAGATCTCGTGGAGAAAACAAAACTATAGGTTGCCCCGTCTTATAAGCATTGGTATAAAAATTAAATAAAATGTTAACAAAATGTCAACAAAACAGCAGCACAATGCAAGAATATTACATCATGACCAATAGGTGTTTATACTCAGAATAATAAAAAATAAGAATAGTAAACACTTACATAGCACTTACTATGTGCCAGGCTCTGTTCTAAGGGCTTCACAGAGATTAATATATTTAATCATCATGACACCTTGAGGCACAGAGAGGGCTAGGAACTTGCTCAATGAGACACAGCTGGTTAAATAGTAGAGCCCAGAATTTAGTCTGGATAGGCTTCCACTTCTGCTCTCAGCCACCTTACTTACTCTGCCACCACTTTAGTTCAACAGATTAGAAAAATGACTGATGTAATTAACCACAGATTAAAGAAGAAAATATGGTTATCTCCGATGCAGAAAAAGCATTCAGTGAAAGTAAGCACCCCTTCAAAGACAAAACTGCTCTCGGAAAGGAGTTTCCTTAACAGAATCCAGGTCTCCACCAAAAACCTCATGCTTACTTGTTGCCATGACAACTGTGACACATACTAATTCTTTTAAGATAAATAGACCAGAGTTCTCAGTGCCTGATGGGAGAGGAGGCCCATTTCCAAGGAGCCTCTGGGCAACCGAGCAAGCCCTGCCCAGATCAGATTGGGCAATGGGAATTTTATGGCCCTGAATTACCACTACCTCTGCACCCAGCTTGCAAGCAAGCCTTTGGAAGCTAAGGATACGATACGCTGCCCAGGATGCAGCAGGTGTCAGGAAAGATGGTCTGAGTGCCTGGGAAAGAAGACATGTGGCAGAAGGCAATAAAGGATGTCGGAGAAGACAGTAGGATAGAGGCTGCTGAGTGTTTCCCATCACCAGCTTTACCTGCAAAGGTTGGAGCTGTTATTGTTCAGAATTTCACCTCCTTTTGCATGTGGATCAACAAGTGTTTTCTGTAGTCATTCTGTTTTTATTTTCATGAGCAGCTTACTCCTAATTAGGGGAAACAGAGTCAGAAACTCATGCACGTGGGTTCCATTTCTGAGCATTTAGTGGGGAACTGCTGGCCTAAGGAAATCCAAAGGCACAGGGAAAGAAAAGGCAAAACAAAAAACGCTAACGATGGAATTGGGGACCTTAATGTTAAACTTTTACACACTCCCATTAAAATCACACCCCAGATAAAGAAGCTTGCAGTCACCACTGTTCAGCCTTATTCTGAAGTTCTTAGTTGGTGCAATACAACAAGAAAAACCCCCATAATACTCTGAAATAAAAAAAAGCAACAAAGAACAGTGTTGATCTATCGGTTAGGAAGAGGATGGCATAAACAGGGATATAGGCTTAGGTTTGAGCTTTAACTTTAGTTGATCAACAAATGATTTTTTAAATTTTTTTAATCTTGCTTGGTACTTTATATTATTATTTTAAACAATTCATCATTTAATGCAATCAAATGTCAGTCTCTGCATAGGATATGCAATGGATGTAGGCACTAGATAAAATGTTATGAATTTAATTAAAAATGTTACATTTACTTTATTAAAAAAAAGACAAAAAGAAATGAGACCCCTGACATTAGAAAGGAAGAGACTAGGCTCTTATTATTTCTCAACAGTATGATCACTGGCATAGAAAACAGAAAAGCTTCATTAGGCAAACTTTTATAGTAGGCATTAAGGCTGCAGTCCCCAACCCCTGGGTCTTGGACCACTATGGGTCTGTGGCCTCTGGGGAACCGGGCCACACAGCAGGAGGTGAGCGGCAGGTGAGTGAGCGAAACTTCATCTGTATTTACAGCCACTCCCCATCGCTCGCATCACCGCCTGAGCTCCACCTCCTGTCGGATCAGTGGAGGCATTAGAGTCTCACAAGAAGCATGCACCTACAGTTTACAGTAGGCTTTGCGCTACTTCTCATAGGAGATTCTCACAGGAGCCCTAACCCTACTGTAAACTGCGCAGGCGAAGGATCTAGGTTGTGTGCACCTTAGGAGACTCTAATGCCTGATGATCTGAGGTGGAGCTGAGGCGGTGATGCTAGCGCCGGAGAGCAGCTGCAAATACAGATCATCATTAGCAGAGAGGTCTGACTGCACAATAAATGAACGCTTGACTCCCACAAGCCAGTTATCCCTGTGGATAACACCTCCTGCTTAAGGAAGAGGACTTCACAGTAAATGTAATGCGCTTAAATCATCCCACAACCATCCCTCCCCTACCCCCATCCGTGGAAAAATTGTCTTCCATGAAACCAGTCCCCGGTGCCAAAAATGTTGGGGACTGCTGCATTAAGGGATTTGGATGCAATATCCATAAAGGCAAATCAATAGTGCTCTATTCACAAACAATAACCAATTAGAAAAATGTAATCAGAAAATATAATAAAAAGACAAAACATCACATAAAATTCCTGCATTAAAATATGTCCAGAATTTTTTAAAGCAAAAATTCTAAATGTTTAGTGAAGGACCTAAAAGATCCGAGAAAATGAGAGTGACGCCACATTCCTGGGTGGGAAGACACACTATTGTAAAGATGTGGATCTCTTCTGGCTTGATCTACAACCAGGTGCACTTAGGGAAACCCTCTTGGGGGCGTTTGCCATGCATCAGGCACTGCCCTGAGCACTTACGAGCCCCTCGTTTACTGTGCCCAGTAGCCCTCACCGGCACTGCTTTCTGGTGTATGTTATCCTCACTTTCCACGTGAGGAAACTGAGGCCCGGGCCATAAACTCTCACAGCTAACAAGTAGTGGAAGCAAGATTTGGAATCCAGGCTCTTACCCTTGAAGCTCTAGTGTCACCGGCAGATAATCAGGATTCTAAATCTATTTGTACCAACATGGACTAATCTCAAAAACATAGTGCTGAATGAAAAAAAGCAAGGTAAAGTTTTATTTTACGGAAAAATACCATTACTGCAAATCAAAAGCGCCAAGCACTCACTTTCCTTTTGCACATGTAAAAGCATTTTGTTTTTTTTTAAAGATTGGGAGATGGTATCAGATTCAACAGTATTTGGCTCTAGGACAGTGAGGAGGGACTTATAGTTTTTTTCTGTAAAGGTCCAAATTATTACAGATCAGCATATTCATATTCCACTGTGAAGTGTCTTAAAATCGCCTAGAAAACACAGTGTGGACAGCACAATGATCATGGGGATTGTCAGATGGGAAAAGTATGTTACTACTTTCTTCTCCCTTTTTGGTATTTCTCCAATTTCCAACAAAGGAAAAAAATTGATATTTTGCATTTTCCAAATAAAAAGTTCCATCACGATATTGCATGAGCACTTTCCTTGAGAAGCCCTGTGCTGGGGCTCAGGGAAGAGAGATCTGATCACATCTTACTCACCCTGGGCCTGTGACGACAGGTGCTCAAGATAGTTGCACAGGGTGGTCAAAGAAAGCTTCCTGGGGGAGGTGACATCCAAAGGGTTCCTCAGGAGGAGGAGGAGGAGGAAGCGCACCAACTGGGGAGGAAGACAGACCCGCTGGTGCAAGCCCAGCTTGCTGTGGGCCAAGACATCAGAGCTGGAGCTGGGCAGGTGGGCAGGCACAGACGAACAGCACCTTAAATGCCAGGCCATGCGGCCAAGGGCAACAGGGAACCATGGAGGGTCTTAGGCAGGGGAGGGGGAAAATGAGTGTGAGATTTATAATAATCCTGCTGGTTCTGTTTGCAGAGAAAGGTCCAGAGAGGCCAAGATGCAAGGCTGGGAGACCCCACGGAGGCTTTGTTAATTCCAGGTGAAAGATGATGGGGCCACAGCCATGGGGCAGGGCCTGAGAACACAGGAATCGGTAGTGTTTGGAAGGCAGACTTGCCAGATGCAGTGGATCCGGGGTGTGTGGGAGGAGGAAGGGCCCACGATGCCACCCAGTCTGGCCTGGAGATGGCTGGGGAGGCAGATACAGGGACAGTGGCACAGGATGGGACAGGCGCTGAGAAGAAGTGAGAGCCAGAGCCTGGGATGCCACAGAGGAGTCGTCCTAGAAGGTGACACTAGAGTGGACCTCCTTCATTACTTGGGGAGCCTGGCAAGCAGGTGCTCTAGTGGGCAGAGAGCAAGTGGGGGATTTATCATCAGGGGACCGCAGGCTGAGTCCTGGCAGCTGGGCCATCCTGGGCAGGCCACTCAGCATTACTAATACACTCTGTTTGCTTCTGAAAACAGGGCTCATCATTCCCGAACCCTGGGTTGTGAGAAGATTAAGGAGGAAACACATGGCAAGTGCTTGGCACAGAGCCTGGCACTAGATGAACAGGAGATACTGCCCCTCATTCTCCGTTTCCTGTCACACCATGCCTGGCCATCTCCTGTCCCCAGCATCCCTCATTCTGTGTTCCCTTGACCCAGTTAAAGAGAGATGAGGAAGGAATCCCCCCTCTGGCTCCATCCTTCCCCCGTTCTCCTGCCCCACAGGGAGGGATCTGTGGACACAGGTCTGAGCCCTGGATTAGCTGTGTAATCCCCAGCTCTGCCTGGGCAATCTCTTTCCTGCCCAGGAGAGGGGGCCTGGGGCAGGGAGCCAGGACTCCTGGGCTCTGGGCCTGGTACTACCTTACACTTCTGGGAAACCTCAGACAGGGTGGAAATGCTCTTGGCACCTCTCTTGGGAATGCCACTGCCATCCACAGGACAGGCATGTCAGTTGGCCTGTGTGTGTGTGCCATGTGCAGGAAGATACACCTGGACTCAAGTCCAGCTCCACCACTAGGCGGCTTCATGCAAATGAGCAAGGGACAAAATGTCCCTGGGCCTCATTTTTTTCAGGTACAAAATAGAGTGAACACCATCCAGGGCTGCTGTGAGAGTATGAGAAAGTAGGTCCAAATGAGTTTATAAATAGCACATCTGAGAGACACAAGAAAGGATGATTACAGCCCAAGAAAATAGAGATGGCTCCTTCCCATGAGGACTGGGAAACTGAGATAGGGACAGAAGGCCAAAAAGGTCGCTCATCACTGGGACCAGAACCAGAGAGTTCCGGGGAGCTTAAAAAGACAAGAGGTCATCAGGCTTCCAAGACTTCCTGAGAAGGCAAAGGACAGAGGACCTCCTTGGGTCAGGGAGAAACCGAGTGACAGGGACAACCACACAAACACCCTAAAACCTAATGAGGCCAGAAAGGGGTCTGGGATGACGGTGTCACAGCAGTGGCCTGGGCGATGGCCCTGGTGGGGGAGGGAGTTGTGGAGCCCTTACATGCCGGACTAGTGCCTGATTCCAAAGGCAGTAAGGTGTCCACAGCCATACCACCCTGACCGTGCCTGAAGCTAAGTAGGGTCCGGCCTGGTTACTATTTGGGTGGGAGACCGCCTCAGAATACCGACTGCTGTAGGCTTAATAAAAAAAAAAAAAAAGATTTTTTTAAATTTAAAAGAACGAAGGCAGTAGGGGCCACTCCAGGATTTTGAACAGGAACGCAAAGTGCTGGAACTCTCCTGACAAAGGTTGGGAGGGCTCAGAAGCGCCCAGCAAGACGCGCATCCACCGACCCTCTCCCTCCTCTCTGCCTCACCCAGCCTAGGACTGGAGAAGCGCCTCCTCTGGATAGACCTCCGCGAATAACGCCCTGCTTGCCTAGGATAGAACTCTGTGGCTAATGAGCAATCCTTCCCTGAGCACATGGATGTCCGGGGGAAGCTCACGGTTTGGCCGGGCTCGGAGTGGGGCAGAATAATCACAACGCAGGTGAGGACTGGGCTGTAACCTGGCTGATTTCTCCCTCCTCCCCAAACACTGGTGCATACAGCAGGTGCACACTGAACGCCGAACCTGTAGAAAGTGGAACACACCAGGACCCAGCAGAAATCGACATGAGACGTTTGTTAACTTGGGGCTTGAAAGGCTGGGAGCACCCAGACAAAGGCCCAGAAGCCGAGCGTATCCAGCTAGCAAACGCCAGCCCGGCGGCGGGGGGAAGGCGGGCCGAGGCCGGCGGGACTACGTCTCCCAGAAGCCCCAGCGCCAGGCCGGCCGCTTTCGGCCTCTCCGCCCTCCCCGAGGAGGCGGGGCCGGAGGCGGGGCCGGAGGGACGCAGGGATGCCTGGGCGCGCGGCCGGCGCTGGGCGCGTGACGTTCTTCCTGTGCGCCGCCTAGCGTCTGTTGTCGCGCCGGTTTCTCAGCCTCAGAGCTGTGAAGGTGACAGCGTGAAGTGACCCGGCTGGCCCCCGCGATGCTGGCCGCACGGCGGCTGCTCGGCGGGTCGCTCCCCGCGCGGGTATCTGTGCGTTTCAGTGGCGACACGGTGAGGCCCCGCCTGGCTCGGGCCAGGGGCGTTCGCGGGCCGGGTCTCGCTGCCGCGCCTCTGTGCTTGCGGGCTCTTGGGTCTGTAGTGCCTTCTGGAGAAGCCTCCTCTTCTCCCCAGGCCCAGCAGGAATGTTGCCGCTCCAGCCTGGTTGTAGAAGGGGAACAGGTTCCGACGGGAGAGTGCCTGCCCCGGGCCCTCCACCTTCCTGGCTTCCCTTATTTAATAATTCTCCAGCCCAGCGGGAAGTTTTGCGGGTTATAAAGCGTCTTAGTCTTTTATTCCCTTCGTTGCCACAGCCTTGTAGGGCGTGAAGGGTTCACAGCCCCATTTTGCACATGCAGAAAATAGCCTTGGAGAGGGATGCGCACCTCTTGATTCCCCATCCAGTGCTCTGCCCCCTGTAATGGTTGAAAAGTGCTTTTAAAGTGGAAGTCTGGAAGTCAAGACCTCTTTAGCCCTCGTCTGGGTTGCTCTCCACTGGGTAGTGTAGAATTCCAGCACCCACCTCTGCACAGTTTTATCCCAGGTGGGCCCCCTCTATCACCTTTGCGTCCTAGCCCTAGGGAGGCATTTCTTTTCCATCAGTAAACACATTTTGCCTCCTAAGCAGAGTTAGTAGGATAAAGCCCCTACCCTAAACAAGTTTTGGCCTAGCGGGAGAGCCACACAAGTAAAGGGACATGCCATCACACTGAGTTTGGGGAGGCAGTATGGTGCCATGATTCAGGTATGGGCTTTTGCTACGGACAGACCTAGGCTCAAATTCTGTTTGCTGCTTTTGGCTGTGTGGCTTTCCATGAGTTCCTTTGGCTCTGAGCTTCAGTGTCCTCCTCTGTAAAATGGAGGAAATCATTTCTATCTCAGGGTTGTTATGAGGATGAAATAGAACTTTAGATATAAAATGCTTAGTTCGGTACCTGCTAACCAAAAAATGCTTACTAAGTGGTGGTGGTATCCATGATGCTACACAGTTTGAAGCTTAGGCTTCTCCCCTATCACCCAGCCCTTCCTAATAGGGGTGCCCAAGAGTCTATAGCATCTGACCCAATCCCTCATGGCCTCAGCTGGGCCTCTTGACTCTCTCTCTCCCCAGACAGCACCCAAGAAAACCTCATTTGGCTCATTGAAGGATGAAGACCGGATCTTCACCAACCTGTATGGCCGCCATGATTGGAGGTGAGACAGTGTTCTTAGTCCGGTGCAAGTGTCCTCAAACTATGGCCCACGGGCCACATGCAGCCCACCAGGTGTTTTTGCCGCTGCTGCCTGTCCTGCTTAGCAGCCGACTCGTCCGGGCCCCACAGTGCGCATGTGTGGAATGTGCGCCGCACTCTTCAATGGCCCTCCAATGGTCTGACAGACAGTGAACTGGCCCCCTGTTTAAAAAGTTTGAGGACCCCTGGTCTGGTGGGTTCTGGAGTAAGGCCCTCCCTTCACTGCCTCCCTTCACTCCCCACCCTGTCCAGGCTGAAAGGTGCTATGAGTCGAGGTGACTGGTACAAGACAAAGGAGATCCTGCTGAAGGGTCCCGACTGGATCCTGGGTGAGGTCAAGACGTCAGGCTTGCGGGGCCGTGGTGGCGCTGGCTTCCCCACTGGCCTCAAATGGAGCTTCATGAATAAGCCCTCAGATGGAAGGTATGTATAGGGAGACAGAGATGTGGTTATAGGAGAGACCTTGGGGGTGGCTGGGGCTTGTCTGGACTTTTGGGCTGTTTCCTTAGAAACTGAGCATGAATGAGGTAGGAGAATGTTCCCAGGCCTTATGTGGATGAGACTTGCATTTTTCTCTGGAATTTCTCAGGGGAGACCACATAGCAGAATCAACACAAGACTTTGAGTCAGGCAGACTTACTTAAAAAACTAGCGCTGCCTTCTAATAGAACTTTAGGTAATCTCCTGGCCTTTTTGAACCTTAGGTTTCTTTCTTGTAAATGGATATAGTGATATGCAGGGATTAAAGGGATAATGTTTGTATAATTTGGGGCTGGTACATTGGTTGGCACACAGAAAGCAAATAATGAACCTCAGCTACTTTACCTCCTTTTGGCCCCAGAGATGTGGTGGAGGTTGAGGTTGAAGGTTCTTTGTGACCAAGAGCAGGATCTGGCTCTCAGGGGAAAGCACAGGGAAAGATGTTTGGACTGAGCAGAATAAAGACCTTTCTTGTGATCATAGCCACCTAAAGATGGAATGGGCAATGAGCGCCCTGTCTTTGGTGGTGAGCAAACAGAGCCCCTGGGGGACATGTTGGGAGGGCAAACAGGGATTGGTTGTTGGAGGAGACGTCTTTGAGGTCTCCCTGGGTAGAGTGGGGGTGGCCTGTAGTTGAGGACCCAGTCCTGATGGGCCAGTAGCCTGTCTGAACCACGGGCCCCCACAGGCCTAAGTATCTGGTGGTGAACGCGGACGAGGGGGAGCCTGGCACCTGCAAGGACCGGGAGATCATGCGCCACGATCCTCACAAGCTGGTGGAAGGCTGTCTGGTGGGGGGCCGGGCCATGGGTGCCCGTGCCGCCTACATTTACATCCGAGGGGAATTCTACAATGAGGCCTCCAATCTGCAGGTGGGCCGGGAGGGGCATCGACAGATGAGAAAGTACTCGGTGTGTACTCACACAGCCCCCCTACCCAACACAGTGCGTAGGTGTTGGCACCTGCCCTATCGGGTTGAACTGGGAGGGTGGTGACCACTCTTGCATGTGTCCTGGACAGGACTTGCCACCCAAAGCCCCAGAGCCTTAACTTGAGAAGGCTTCAAGGGCTTCATGACTCTTGAAATCATAGGCTGGGAACCCTTGTCCCGCAGGTGGCCATCCGAGAGGCCTACGAGGCAGGCCTGATTGGCAAGAACGCCTGTGGCTCTGGCTACGATTTTGATGTGTTCGTGGTGCGCGGGGCTGGGGCCTACATTTGTGGAGAGGAGACAGCGCTCATCGAGTCCATTGAGGGCAAACAGGGCAAGCCCCGCCTGAAGCCCCCCTTCCCCGCGGACGTGGGTATGCCCTGGCCTGACCCTGGGCCTTGTCTTGGCTGTGTCTGTGTAATCTGGGATCTGGCTAAGTCCTCCCGGGCTTGCTCTTATGGCATTTCTGAGTGCCTTCTGGGCTGGGGCCAGAAACAGAGAGTAGGGTGGTGACAATATACAGGCTGCAGCAGGGCCTCATCCCACCTCGGCCCCATGTCAGACACCCAAGCCCCCTCCAAGCTAGTCTGTGGCTCTGCCTACAGAGTACCTGTCCTGGGAGCTAGGGGCTTGGTGGTGAACAAGGCGACGCAGCTCCTTCTGAGTTTGGGGTCCAGCAGGGGGCAGGAATGACAAAGGGCCGGAAGAGCAGGGGCTCTCTGCCATGGGAGCAGGACCCTGGGACAGATCCTACTGCCAGGAAACCTGCCCCCAACCCCTGGCAGCCACCGGTTTCTCTTCCCATTTCCCTGAAGGAGTGTTTGGCTGTCCCACAACTGTGGCCAACGTAGAGACAGTAGCCGTTTCCCCCACTATTTGCCGCCGTGGCGGTGCCTGGTTTGCTGGCTTCGGCCGAGAGCGCAACTCAGGCACCAAACTATTCAATATCTCTGGCCACGTCAACCACCCTTGCACCGTGGAGGAGGAGATGTCTGTGCCACTGAAGGAACTGATCGAGAAGCACGCTGGTGAGGCCTGGGGCCAGCGGGTGGGGGCAGGCAGGTGTCCATGAAGAGGGACGAGGTGGGAGGTCAGGAGCTGGGGCTGGGTTCCAGGGCTGACGCAGATCCTGGGCTCAGGATGAGGCAGGTGTGCTGGCCCCAGCCCTGACCATACATCTCTTTGGGGACCAACTTGGGGACCCCAGGGGGTGTCACAGGTGGCTGGGACAACCTCCTTGCTGTGATCCCTGGCGGCTCATCCACCCCACTGATCCCTAAGTCCGTGTGTGAGACGGTACTGATGGACTTCGACGCGCTGGTGCAGGCACAGACGGGCCTGGGCACGGCTGCGGTAATCGTCATGGACCGCTCGGTAAGTGCTCGCCCACAGGCCCCCCAGTCCCTGCCTCCTCCCAGCCTGGGTGCTGAATCCCTCCTTGGGCCTTGGAAAACCCTCTTGCCAGCTCTCAGGTCCCAGTTCTGCAGCCTGAGATGCAAGTGACGTGGGAGAGGAGGGAGCGAGGCTGCTCTGGGGGAGAATGTGTCTGGAGCCTGGGCAGTGCAGGGTGCTCGGGGCAGGCTGAAGGAGCCAGAGCGCTGGACGGCCAGGGAGGATCTGCTGAGACTGTGGGAGGGGTGCTTCTGTGGGGCTGAGGCCCCAGTTTCTGTCTGGCCTTGGATGCCTGCTCACTGCCCCTTGTCACCCAGACGGACATTGTGAAAGCCATCGCCCGCCTCATTGAGTTCTACAAGCACGAGAGCTGCGGCCAGTGCACCCCATGCCGCGAGGGTGAGCATCTGGGCAGGTTAGGGGTTTGCTTGCTGTGGCTTCACTTAAGCCTGTACCCCTCAAGTGCTGTCCCACAGCCTGGCTGGGGAGACGATCAGGCCCTCTCTTGTGGTTGTGGTTGCAGGTGTGGACTGGATGAACAAGGTGATGGCCCGCTTCGTGAAGGGGGACGCCCGGCCCGCTGAGATCGACTCCCTGTGGGAGATCAGCAAGCAGATAGAGGGCCACACCATTTGTGCCCTGGGCGACGGGGCTGCCTGGCCTGTGCAGGTCCGCACTGCCCAGTTGCGTGGCACTAGGGTGGGGGTGCTGAGAGCCCAGGCTGTTGGGGACTGTGGACTCTGCTTCACATAGTCTCCTGCTTCCCCCACGCAGGGTCTGATCCGCCACTTCCGGCCGGAACTCGAGGAGCGGATGCAGCGGTTTGCCCAGCAGCACCAGGCCCGGCAGGCTGCCCTGTGAGCCACCACCCTGGCCCGGGGTCTCGGACCATCTGTCTGGAATGCCGAACAATAAAGCAGGCGAGGCCCACGTGCCAGCTCCTCTGTGACTTTGCTCTTTACCCTGCCACCGCTGGCCCTACTCATAGAAGCCTGTTCCCAGGCCATGCCTTTTGGAGGTCCACACCTTGGCCTTTTGGGGGTCAGTTAGTCAGTCCCAGACCATCCTGAGCAGAGTCTCTGAGTGGAAAAGTCAGGGTGGATAGGGGACTGGGAGGGCTGGGCCTGGTCACTGTGGCCTGAGGTCACATCTGGGCCCAGTGCAGCACAAGCCCCTGGAGGGTGGGAGGTGGAGACCGGGGCCCAGTCTGGCTGTGGCCAGAGAAGAGACAGGCTTCCGTCTGGCTTGAAGGACATGTTTATTTAAGCTTTGTGATTTGGGGTGGGGTGAATGTGAGAGGGGAGACAGGAAATGCCCGTTTGGCTGGGGGCTGGGCACGGTGGGTGAAGCAGGCCCCAGGCTCTACCAGCTCCGTGGGGACAGTGTGGGCAGCTGTGGGGGAGGGGCAGCAAGCAGGGCCCGGCCGGGCTAGTCGCTGAGCTGGAGGGGCTTGCCGTCCAGCGGGTGCCACAGCTCCAGCCGGCAGTCGCTGTGGCCCAGGCACTCGCGCCAGTGCCGCAGGCGCTCCCCACTGGCGCGGCTGCCCAGCTGCACCCCGCCTGCCATGGGGGTAGGTCAGGAGCTACCAGGAGCCCACTGAGCTCCCACCCTAGCTCCGCACGTTCCACTCACCGATGAAGTCGTTGGCCGTGCCCAGGTCGTAGTCCCACACAGACACCAGCAGCGTCTTCTGGGCCAGCTCCTCCCGTGGGCCTGCGTAGAAGAATTCCTGCAGGGAAAGGGGCAGAGGGGCAGGAAGGGGGAGGCCTGGGGTCCCCCGCAGCTCAGGAAACAGGCCCAGGCAGGAAGAGGCCCAGCAAGTCAAGGCCAGGGCTGGCTGGGACCTGCCCGACCCTGGCTCACCTCGTTGAACTCAGGGTTCAGGGTCTTCTTCCGAACGCTGGTCTTATATTTGGATTTCTTCCCCACGTTTGGATGCAGGAAACTGATTGGGACAGATGGGCGCATTAGGTGTGGCCCTGGAGGGGTGAGGAACTGCCACCTTGGCCTTACTGCCCGCCCGTCCACCCCTGCTCACACTCACAGGCGGACGAAGGGGTCTGAGTAGCCATTGGCGTCCATGGGGGCCAGGTGGGCGCAGCGCAGCACCCCCACCAGCAGGCCACCCCGCTGAGAGCTGTAGCACAGTGACAGCAGGATGCGCCCCCGTTCCTCACCGGCCGCCTCTACCTCCTGCGGATGTAGGCTGTGGTCAGCCCCCAGCCAGCCCGAGCCCGCCCCCGCCGGTGTCCAGGCTCCGTATGGCAAAGCTCAGTGTAGCTGCAATGAAATCGGGGGCTGATGATTTAATTTCCCAATACAGCCCCTGGCCTGGCACCCTGGAAGGGACCTTCACTCACGGGTCAGCTAGACCCTCCAGACCTGTGAAGGGGAGGGGCTTGCTCAGGCCACGTGACTGGTCAGTTCAGCATGTCTTTGTCGTGAAGGGGACGGGAACTGATGGTCTCTGACAGGCCAGGAGCTTCCTAAGTAGCCTCCCTTCAAGTGCCATAGCCACTCCTGCAGGGCAGGCCTTACCTCGGAAGCCTCACTGGGAGGCTGTTCACGCAGGGATAAACAGGTCTCTTCAACCTCAAAGCCCATGCTCTTTGCCCCCACCCTCCACCCTGGGGACCAGATTTGGAATGTCCTTTGCCACACTCTGGGTCCCGGGTGTCCCCAAAGAATTCATGGAGGATGCCGGGAAAGAATGTGCATCCTCCGATCTTTAGTGTAGAATCCAGTTTGCAGCGAGCCCAGGCACCCTGCCACAGTCAGTTCTCAGGAACGCAGGTGCGCTCTGAGCCCCCGCCATGTGCCGTGGTGCTGTTGTGCATAGAGTCTAGGACAGGAGGTGGGTGTTGCAGGGGGCTCGGGTGTCTGCTGGGCAAAGTGACCTGCCTATGCCACCCCCGTGGGGCCTCACCTGCCTGGGCTTAGCTGATCGGCAGCTGCAGCAATTTGTGGCTCCACTAGGGGGCAGGATGCCTGGTCCTTCTGAGAGGAGCAGGTGGGGGGCCCTGCCCTCAGCCCGAAGGTGCCCCTCTCCTACTGGGCCACAGGGAGTCTGGCCAGGTCTTTGGCCTCCAGTAGCGGCACCCACACTGATCCCAGGGCAGACCTCACAGCCAGGGAGCTCCATCCCATCCGTTCTCTTTGACCTTGCCCAGCCTTCCCACCTTGGGCCTCGAACAAACACCACCAGGTTCAGCCTCTGCCTCAAGGTTGCTCTGGTCTCAGCCCTGGAAAGGGAGTCCCCCTAACTGTGCCCAGCCTTTGGGGGCTTGGCTGTTCCCAGGCCTATGAGAGAGATGGCCTCAAGTTCCTCCACGCCCGCCTAGACCTGGACCCTGCCCAGCCACCTATGCCCCGGCCTGATCCACTTCACCCTGCCCCCCCCCAGGCCTGCCCCTATCCCTGCTGAGCCCAGCTGTCCTACCCACCTCCTCATACAGGGACATGCCACGGGCTGTGTCCAGGCTCTTGGGTCTCTTGGTCTGAAAGAGCAGAGGGCCTGGTCACCTTGGCCAGACGCTGCCCAGACCCCTTTCCTGTTCCCCCCTTCCTTGGCCCCCCTCAGGGTTCCTGGCCCCTGCAGCCCCAGTCTGTGCCCTGGCCCCACTCACCAGCCTCCGCTTCTCCAGACAGATGTCAAAGCTCCTGGCTCGGTTGGGCACCAGCTTCCTCAGGGGCACCCGCAGCTCCCCCAGGGGAGGCGCCCGCCGCCGTCGCCGCAGCCGTGGGTCCTCGCACACACACAGCCTGGCGGCCACCCAGGTCACACCTGGCTGGGCAAGCCCCATCCCCCTGCCCCACCCCTTGGTGGCCCAGGCCCCATCCTCACCGCAGGGTCTTGCGCGCAGCATCCTGAGGGGTGAAGCCGTGATAGGTGAGTGTCTCCTCCCAGACAGGTCCCCTGGTGCCCCGAACGGTGCGTGTCCGAAGCTGGCTGGCCTGGGGGCCAGGCAGGGGGTCAGAGGCTCCTGGAGCTCAGACACCCAGCCCGCTCCCCTGCCCTGCCTCCCTGATAGGGCCTCATTTGCACATCCTGGCCACTGGGACCCAGGCCTTGGGGGAGGGGACAAGCAGGGCCAGGAGGGTGCTCCAGGCTGGGCGTGCGTCCGAAAGGCACAATGGGGGCCTAGGGCTTGCCCTCACCTTGCTGGCCCCTGGCAGCAGATTGGCTTTGACATAGGTGTCCACAGAGCCCGAGGCCGGTGGCTTGAGGCCCTGGAGACAGACAGTGGATGTGAGATGGCCTGTGGCCCAGCCTTCTGTCCCAGGGACCCCAGCCCCATCCTCACCTTGGCACGATGAGCCGTGCAGTGCAGGGCGCTGTTGTCCACATCAAAAAGAAGCGTGAACTCCAAGGTGCCCAGGGCAGCTAAGGGCAGGTGGCAGGCAGGGTCACCTTCTGCCTCAGTTCAACCTGCCCCTTCCTGCCTTGCCCCACCACAGCTGGATGCCAGCGACACCCTGGCCCAGTCCTGGCTGGGCTGAGCTGGGATCACCCCCGTCCATGCCCCGACTCACTGCTGTTGTCCGAGTCCCCCTCTGGCTCCGGGTCAGGCTGAGGCAGGGGTGCAGAGCGGGTGGCGAGGGCCACTGGGGTGCGCAGGTTCGGGGCGTGCTCAGCAAAGGGGTAGAAGTGCGGGAAGTAGTCAGAAATGAGGCGGATGGGCCGGATGGGGCCTGGGCTCACGTCGATGGCCATGTGCTCCTGCATGCTGACCCGAGGGGGCCGCCGCCCGCCTGCCGCCACTGCGCCCGCCATGGGGGCCTGGGCATGGGGCGGGGGCTCAGAGATGCACACCGGGACTCAGGCTGGGGATTGGGCACCTGGTCTCTGAGCCGGGGCCAAGAGGCATCGCTGATGGCGCCCAGGGGACCTGAGGACAAAAGGCAGGGTCAAGGGGCAGGGGTGGGGGTTCTAGTGCTGGAGCAGAGCTTAGGGGGCCGAGGCAGGTTTGGGAGGGGACCCCGTGTGTCCGGAGTCAGCCCAGCTGGGCTCCTTACCCTCTGAGAGCTACTGCACAGGCTCGGGTTGCAGCAGTGGTGGTGGCTGTGGTGGCGCTGGACTGCGCCTGGGCAGCAGAGCTGGTGACTGAGGTAACCCGTGTGAGGTGTGAACCCTTCCCAGGGCTTGGGAGCCCAGCCTCCCTCCCTCACCCCTGGGCGGGCCCTTGCCCAGTGCTGGGCTTGGCCTCCCTCCTCCCCCTGTCCCTTCACACATTGTCACAGGGAGTTATTTTTACCACCCTCATGTGGCCCTGCTCCCAGGTGAGGCTGCATGGGCAGAGGTGATGGAGGGGTTGGGGGGAGGGGATGCAGAGGATGGAAGAGGGGGTAGGTGACAGGGTGGGGCTGTGGCGAGGACAGGGAGAGGGCTGTGATCTAGTCCTCTGGCAGAGGCCAGCTTAAGCTTTGAAACCACGAATCATCACTTTCATCCCTCCCCCCACCCATAAATAGGAATAAAATCCTAACCCATCAGTGAGGCATGTGCCTGTGTCTCCTCACCAAGGAGTGTCCCCTTGGCCCCCATCCCCACTTTGCTCCTCCTGGCTTGATACCCCAGCCCCGCCTGGCCGCTCCTGCACTCCTGTGGTTTCTAGGACACCAGGGAGGTGGCTGGTTCTAACTGCCCAACATTCCCGCTCTCTCCCCCCCCAGCCTCCTCCCTGTTCTTTTTTTATTCTTAATTGACAAGTAATAACTGTAGGTATTTATGGGTCACAATGTGGTGTTTTAATATGTGGATACACTGCAGAAAGATTAGCTCAACTAATTAACATATCCATCACTTCACCTGCTTAACCACTTTTTTGTGGTAAGAATGTCTAAAATCTGCTCTTTAAGTGATTTTGCAACATACACTATTGCTAGCTACGGTGGCTGTGCGGTGCAATAGGTCACTAAAGCTTATTCCTCCTACCTGAAACTGTGCCATGAGCCACACCTCCCTTTTCCCCATCCCCGACGCAACCCCCAGCCTCTCATTCTACTCTCTGTTTCTCTAAGTTCAACTTTTTAAGATTCCATATAAAAGTGACAACATATGGTATTTGTCTTTCTGTGCCTGGTTTATTTCACTCAGCATGTCTTCCATGTTTATCCAGGTTGTCACAAATGACAGAATCTCCTTTTTAAAGGCTGCATAGTACTCCGCTGTGTATGTCCAGCACATTTTCTTTATCCATTCGTCCTATGCTGGGCACTTAGCCGGCTTCCATCTCTTGGCCGCTGTGAGTGATGCTGCCGTGAACGTGAGAGCAGGCCCTTTATTCAGCTTGGAGTGGAGCCCGCCTGGCAGGGTGAAGGCAGAGGCTGGGTGGCTATGGGGCAGCCCTCAGCCCCTGCGCAGCTCAGGGATGGACAGGCGGGGCTGGTAGGAGCCAGGCGCCAGCAGCTGCAGGGTAAGCTCAGTGATGACGGCCGTGAGCCCCCAGACCCGGTGTGGTCCGTGCAGGAAGACAGGGAGTGTGTAGCTGAAGTGGCCGCCGCGGCAGAAGTGAGTATAGCCCTGATTCTGCGTCTGCAGCAGGTGGGCCATGGGCAGCACAAACACCTCATCCACCTGTGGGGGCAGGAGGCAGAGAGGTGGCCAAAGGATGGCCGCTGCAGCCTCCCGCCATGGGACAGTCTGGGCTCCCTAGGGTCCCCCCACTCACCTCCTCAGGGTTGGGCCTGAGGCTCCGGAGATCCAGTGGGCCCACACCAGCAAGCACTGGCACCACGGTGGCCTTTTGCTGGGGCGGGGGCAGGCAGTGAGGGAGGCATAGAGCCTTCCTGTCCCTTTACTACCCTAAAATCTCGCACTTGTCATTCAAGCCCCAGCTCAATCCCTGCCCAGCCCGCGAAGCCTTCCCCAACCCTCATCCAACAAGCTGAGCAGAGCTGGCTCACTCCTTCACCCTGGGCCGCATCCATCTCAGGACCACAGCGTCCTCTGCTCCCTCCCCTGGGGTGGGGGCATGGGGATGATACAGTGACTGCCAGGCACATACCCAGCAGTCCTCTGCACTTTTTGCCTGTGGGAGTCCAGGACCCTCTCCTTGTCCCTGGGGTCTGGGATCTTAGCCCAGGCAAGCACTGAGTGAGCGAATGGGTGGGGTGGCCTCAGGGCCAGGTGGCTCACCCTGTCATACACAGGCCTCAGCGTGCCCCACACCTGCTCCTCAGGCACGGCCAGGCCCAGCTCCTCCTGGGTCTCCCGCAGGGCTGTGTGCACCACATCCCGGTCAGCCGCCTCGCACTTGCCGCCTGGGAAACTGAACAGGCACAGGGAGTCTGGTCCTTGAGCTTGTGGGGCCACCCCTTGGTGGGGTGGGGGTGTCAGCAGTGGCAGGAGCCAGTGACCCACCTAAGCATCGTCAGCCTCTGCCCCTAGTTTGCTGTGAGGCCCGGGCAAACCACAGGATTCCCGGAGGTCAGTTCACCCCCCTGAGCCATCGGGTAAGGGAGAGAGGCCCTGGGCAGCACAGGATGGGATATGAGGGCCAGGCAGCAAGGACAGGAAGATCCTGGAGCTCAGACACCCAAATTTTGCCTATGGTGGCCCCAGCGGCGCTGATATTGACCCCAGGCTGTCCTTGATTCCCGCCGGGGCGGGGCCAGGGCGGGAGGTCACCTGGCCCGCCCCGCGTGCGTCCTCGGCTCCGGCCCAAGGCCCGACTCTGTCCACACTCGCAGGGAGGGGCCGAGTCCTGCCTTCTTAGAGGGGGGACACCTCTCCGAGGAGTCCCGGCCCGAGGTGGTGCGCATCAGGACGCGCCTCGAGGGGCCTGGAGAGACACGGGTCGGCGCCTCGCCGCAGCCCGAGGGCGACAGGGCCTCCCCAGGCCTGTTTTGCAGAGGCGGAAACCGAGGCTCGGAGAGGCTGGGCGCCGTGCCCAGGGTCCCTGCCGTCTCCGGGGTTCAGCGTCCTCCGGCGGAAGGACGGAGTTCCCGGCAGGTGTACCTGACTTCCCCCGTGTGGCTCCCGGCCAGGCGGCGGGACCGCAGCGTGTAGAGCAGCGCCGGGACCCCGCGCACGGAGCACAGCGGCACGAGCACCGCGGCCGACGCGGGCCGCGCGCGGAGCCGGGCCGTGGCCTCCGCCAGCAACCGCCGGCAGCGCCGCTCGGCCTCGGCCGACAGGAAGTCCGGCAGCATGTCCGGGACGCCGCGGGAGACCGCCGGCCAGGAAGGGGAGGAGCAGCGCGCCTGCCCCGCGGGGACCTGGGCGGGCCTGGGCGGAGCCTGCCCCGCACGACACGCCCCGAAGTCCGCTGGAGGCGGGGCCTCCGGCCGAGAGGGCGGGGCCTTCGGGCGAGGGGCCTCTGGGTGGGATGCGGGGGGCGCCTGCGCGGGAGCCAGAGCCAGCGTTACTGCGAGATGGCAGTGGGGTGGGGGCACCTGGGAAACAATCGAGGAATCTGGGGCTTGTTCGGGGCACCCGGACCGGACCTTTAGCTCCTTGAGACGCCCGAGGGGGTGCAGGCCGGGGGCGTGGCCGGAAGGGGCGTACCCAGCGGGCTGGGTTTCCGGTGGGCGTGGCCTGCGGGGAAGATGGTGGGAGGCAAGCTGCTGATTGTGACCCCGGGCTCGGGCGGCGAAGCGCCTGGTGACTGGACTCTGCGGTTCCGTTCTGACCACCGGGTTCGGGCACTGGGGTGGCTGGCTGGCCGTTGAGGCCCCGCCGGGCGCCCGCCCGTGTCGGTCCCTACCCTGAGGGGCTCACACGAATTGCCTCAGGACGTGCAGAGTCGGGGTCCCACCGGCGCACCCCCTCCTGAAGGCCGAGGTCGGGTCCCGGGGCGCCGGTGGATGCCCGGCCCGGCCCCCCTCCGGGCCCTGTCTCCTGCTTCCGCTGGGTGGCGCGCGTCGCCCCCGTCTTGCCCTCCCGCGGGCTCCGTGGGACCGACTCCGGTCCAGGCCTTTGGCCTCCTTTGCCGCGGTCCAGAGCTCTCCTCTCCTGCCTCGAATCTTGATCAGATTCCCAAGTCCCTCGCCTCCCCGTCCCCACGTTGGCCCTTGTGGTCACTGCCTATCGTTCTGCACCCCTCTGTGGACCCTGGCCATTCAGGACCAGATGACCCTGCCTTGCACACAACACTCAAAACATGGCGGCTTTGCTGTGTGACTTTGAGCAGGTCCTGTGCCTCTCTGTGTAGCAGTTTTGGTCCTCGTCTGGACACACAAAGCAGGGAGCAGGACCCCAGTCCCCTTCACAGGTTAAATGCAACCCTGCCACAAGGCTAATGTCTCCACCTTTTACCGTCACATGTGCTCGCAGTGATGTGGACAGCACCTGACAGAGCTTTGAGATGCCTACAAGGCTGATGTGGGGGCTGTCTCGGGTCTGGAGTTCCCGAGGTTGCCCCCTGACCCCTGAGGACAGAAGGGCTCTGGCCACTCATGCCAAATGTTTTAATGGGGAGGGAAGTAAAGCAGGGTTTGGGGGAGTCACCCCCAAGGCAAGAGGGCACAGCATTCATGGTTTCTGGGGTTTGGGTGTAGGAGGCCTGGTTCCAAGCCTGGCATGGTCCTAGCCTTGCTGTGACTCTGGGTAGGTGCCTCCCTCTCTGGGCTTCCACCTATCTTGTTTTCCTTGGGAGAGGAGGGGGTATCTCTGCAGAGGTGGGGCTAGAGGGGGTGGGGCAGAGGCTGATTCACACACCAGGTGTGGGGTCCAGGGTAGGACGGCTTCCACAGGGCTTCTGCCATCACCGAGAGTCCTGGCCAGGCCCCAGGCACACAGTGGAGAGGGCCGGGAGCCCCAGCCCGGCTGGGAGGGGCAGGCCTCCTTCTTCCCTGTTAGCACGGACGCTGGGGAGGGGGTATGGTGCTAGTCGGGCCCTTGGGGTCCCCAGGTGTCTTGGGGCTCCAGAGTACAGGCCCTGGTAGGTGAGGGGCCTGTAGGTGGCGGAGGCCAGCAGGGCTTCTGGTGGGGGCAGCAGCTGATGGTGGAGCTGGGCAGGGGTCCTGGAGGTAGAGGCTGAAGCCCTGTTGGGGTCTGAGGAGGAAAATGGTCTGAGTGGACCCCAGGCCTCCCTTCATATCCTGAGCCCCTATCCCAGGCCTGCTCTGTCCCCATCCTTGCTCCTCCTATCCCAAGCTGCATACTTCCCAGCCTTTGCCCTTGTGTCCCTCTGCCTTACCCATCTTGTCCCTCTGTCCAAACCCTTCCTAGTCACCCAAAGCCCAGCTAGGGAGCCATCTTCTCCAGGAAGCCCTCCTGGCACCACCTACCTCTGCTCTCAGCACCTTGTCCCTTGTTCTCTGTGCTCTGGGCCCCACGTTGTCTTAGGCATCTCTGCCTTCCCGCTGTGTCCACACAGGACAGTGGGGTTGCTGAGCTCGCTGAAGCCCCTTCCTGGATTCCCTGTGGCCTTGTCCACTTACTTCCTGCCCACAGTGCGGGCCTTAGTCCCGCTACGTCTGCAGACCCGGGGCCTTACCTTTCTCCCTTTCTGGGACGCCCTTCAGGAGACAGGGACTGAGGCTGCTGCGACTCTGGGCTGGGACGCTGAGCAGGGGCCGAGGGGCCACAGGCCTGCAAATGGGCCAAGCAAGAATGGGCTGGGCCCCAGGGGAAGAACCCAGGCCAGGGATCATGGGCAGAGCCAGATGGTCGGGCTGTACAGGTCAGAGGGCATGACCCTGACGCAAGGGTCAGGAGCTGGGGCCTTAGGAGATGCCTGGGGGCAGGGGCAGGGGAGGGCAGCTGGGCAGAGCGCCAGAGGCCAGACAGTACCAGGAGTCCAGGTCACTCTCTCGAAAGCCCTTGGCAAAAGGGTTGCTGGCGATTTTCAGCTGGGTGATCTACAGAGGAGAAAGTGCCGTGATGGGTTGGCTCCGAGCCAGGCTCGGCCACCATGTGCTCCCGGAGCCCCCCAGTCTGGAGGCCCTGGAGCCCAGGCCCTTGGCCCAGGAACTGTGGAGCCGCTGGGCGGGCAGCAGGGCAATGGCTGTGGGCAGGGAGGGGAGGCCCCGCCGCGCAGTCTCCACCCCGTGACTCGGGCTGGCAGCTGGTGCGTCACGAACCCGGTGGTTCTGATACGCGGTCACGGCTGTGAACTGTGTCTCCGTGAAGATGAAGGACTTGAAGTTCTCCTGGGCGTAGCGCTCACTGTCCTTGCGTGGGTCCACGAAGACCACGTGGAAACGGGGCTGGTAGCGGTGCATGGAGTTGAGAATGATCTGCGGGGGCACGGGCGGGTGTGCGGGGTCGGGCGGCGGCTGGCTCTCTGGGGCCGCAGCCGGGGCCTGCCACCCTCTTCCTTTCTTGGGACCGGGACTTGGGAGGCTGCAGTGCTGTGAGTGTTGGAGCGTTCGTGCCGCTTCGCTCTCTCACACCCACAGCCCACCTGTCAGCTTTCCCTTTGGAACTATCCAGAATCCCACTGCCTCTGCCACCCTGCTGTCTCCATGCCGGCCAGCCACTGTCCTCTGTCACCTGATTTCCTCGGTTGCCTCCTGGCTGGCCTCCCTGCCTCCACCATGCCCCTCTGTGCCTGCTCTACAAGCCGCCCGGCAGGCCGCACCAGGCAGCCCCTGCTCCGGACCCTCCCGGGGCTCCCGCCTGCACGGCAAAAGCCAGAGTCCTCGCCGCCACCACTGGCCCTGCGATCAGCCGGGCGGCCACCTCTAGGTGCTCGGCTCCCCACCCTTCCTCCCCTCCTCGCTCCACTCCAGCCGCACGGGAAGCCTCCTAGCGGCTCCCCCAACAGGCCCAACTTCCTCCGGCCTTGGGCTTTGCACTTGCCGCCCCCTCTGGCTGGGACGGCCCCCCAGCATGCACAGGCACCCACATGCGGTCTGTTCAGATGCCACCTCATCAGCTTCCTGAGCTCCCTGAAAGGAACAGCCACCCTCTGTCTCTGCCCCTTCCCTACTTCCTTTCTCTCTTTGGCATCTGTCGCCGTCTGAGACCCAGTGTCCAGCGTCTTCTGGGTGCTGGGCTCACCATCCGGGATGTGAACCCTGGGAGGGCAGGGATCTTTGGCCAGTGACAACCGTGCTGTGTTCTGGCACCCACAACGGGCCTGGCCCACGCCGGGCATTCTACACATTGTCTCCCCTCTCCTTGGGAAGGACAGTGTCTGCGGGAACATTCCTCCCACCCACCCACTTTCCCACCGGCTGGACAGCCCTCTCTGCGTCCAGCCCCAGCCTTGGCCATCAGCAGTGGGCAGAGGTGCCGAGCACCAAGGCCACCGGGCGCCGCGGCCCCAGCCTGCCCTGGCTCTAGGCTTCCTCACAATCAGGCCCCAGCGCCCCCGGCCTGGCCCAGCCCCTCCCCACTGCGGCCCAGGCCTCACGTGGCCGTTGTCATCCAGCAGGTTGTTGGTCAGTTTGAGCTTGTCGAAGGACACGATCTGGCGCATCCACTGGGCACCCTTGGCCGGGGAGTCGGGGTGGAAGTGCACGCGGCCGGGCGTGGCCGGGTCCGCCTTGCCTGCCACCAGCCAGGCCGAGCTGTGGAAGGCATACCTGGGGAGCAGAGCGAGGCGGCGAGGCTGCCCCCTCTGGAGCCAAGCCTGGGCAAGACGGGGGGTCAAGGGGCCATCGCTGACTCCACCACTGTCCCCTGGCCTGGTGGACGTCGTGCAGATGCGGAACTCGAGGCTCAGAGAATACTGTCGGGCCCTGAGTTCCCGGTGGCTGCACCTGGCTGGTGGGCGTCAGGATGACCCCTGCTTCCCCTGGCTGGGCCACCCCACCTGCCCAGGCAGCCCAGGTAGGGCTGTGGGCCACCCTGAGCTGGGCTCCCTCCTGCCGTCAGGCCGTCGCCCCGGGCCGGCCCTCCCTGGTGTTGCTCAGGTGGGTCCTGCCTCTCCCCGGAGCGCAGTAGGGCCGATGCCCGGGCTCAGCACCCGGGGTCCGGGCCTGCTCTCCGCTGGTGCCTGACCTGTATCTCTTGTCGTCCAGCGGGATGAAGTCCATGAGCAGGGCGTAGTCGGCCAGCGTGTCCATGCCCAGGATCTTCACCTGGAAGGTGGGGAACATCCTCCTGCGGGAGGGGGGCGCTCAGCAGCCCGGACGCACCCCAGCCCCAGCCCCGCCCTGCTCCCGCTGCCCACACCTGCCCGCCTTGGTGACAATCATCTCTGTGCCCAGCTGGTTGAACTCCTCCCACAGAGGCCTCATCTCCAGCTGAACCGTCACGTTGGACACACGCGGGTTCTTGGGGCCCTGCCCAGCGGGCTCGGTCGCGGCGTGGGCCCCAGCGGAGCCGGCGCAAGGGCCTGATGGGAATGGCGTCCCCAGTGAGGGCTCCCAGCTGGGGCTGGTCGCTGGTAGGGTGCAGGTGTCTGAGGGTGCAAGGACGCCAAGGCCGGCAGACAGGAAGGCTGGGGAGAGATGGCAAAATTGTGGGCCCCTGACCACCTCGCCCACCCCCACTCGTCATCCAGCCAGCTCTCGTCCTTCAGGCTGCCCCCCATGCCTCCTCCTCCAGGAAGCTCTCCCTGACTGCCAGCCCTGTGTTCCTGCAGTACCCCAGCCCTCAGCATTACTCCATGAAGCAAATGCTTAAAGTCTTTTTCCCAGTAAGTTCCTTGAGGGTGAAGACAGGGCCTGTCTTGCTCCCCAGAGAATTTTTGAGCCACCCTGTGGCTGTGTGGCCTTGAGCAAATTGTTTCACCTCCTGGAGCCTCAGTTTCCACATCTGTCACAGGGGTTCCCAATCCCTGCCCCACAGGGCCGACATGAGGATTAGTGACAACACACACGGGGGCAGGTGCACAGTGGGCCCTTCCTAAACGACACTTGCTCTCGATGACGCACGTGTGAGGTGGGGGTGGGGTGGGGGTCCGCGTAGACCCTGCTGCGGTGCGGTTAGGGAGAGCTGAGCTGAGAGGAGCCCCTGCCAACCACAGGTCATCCCCCCGCCGCCCGCCCCTGGGAACCTGCGCAGACCCTGCCTGCCATTCTCACACTTGTTCTCTGGTCTCTACTCTTTTCTAAAGACCTTTCTCCTGATCCTGGTACAAGCCTTGGCCAAAACCCTTGCCACCCCCTAGCCTCTGGTTAAAAAAAAAAAAAACAATCCTATCCACAGCGAGACACCATTTTTCACGGATTAGGACGGCGATTAGGAAGGAAAAGACGCTGGAATCACAGTGTGGGTGAGGACGTGGGAGCCGGACCGCCCCCCCACCGTGTCCACCGAAGGGTGGGTGGACAGAGCGTGCTGCTAGCGGACAATGGAACGGTGTCGTTCCGCCTTAAAAAGGAAGGACATTCTGACACACGCTGCAACATGACGCGAGCCAGACATGAGGACAACACTGTGATTCTGAGAGCTGCCCCTCCTGCCCAGGGCCTGGGTCAGGGGACTTCCTCGGCTCCTGTCCCGCCCCACCACGCAGAGGCCTGCGCCCTCCCGCAAGAGAGGCCAGATCCAGAGAGACGAAGCTGAATGGAGGTTGCCAGGCGCCGGGGAGGAGGAAACGGAGCTGTTTAATGGGGACGGAGCGTCAGTTTCTCAAGATGCCATAAGTTCTAGAGATGGTTAATGGAGACGGAGCGTCAGTTTCTCAAGATGCCATAAGTTCTAGAGATGGATGGTGGTGATGGTTGCACAACCGCGTGAAAGAACTTAATTCACTTAAAAATGGTTAGGGTGGTGTATTTTATGTTGTATATTAATATATTTCACCACAGTTAAAATTTTTTAAATGGGCTGGGCGAGGTGGCCCATGCCTGTAATCCTAGCACTCTGGGAGGCCGAGGCCAGTGGATTGCTCGAGGTCAGGAGTTCGAAACCAGCCTGAGCAAAAGCGAGACCCCGTCTCTATTATAAATAGAAAGAAATTAATTGGCCAACTAATATATATAGAAAAAATTAGCCGAGCATGGTGGTGCATGCCTGTAGTCCCAGCTACTCTGGAGGCTGAGGCAGGAGGATCGCTTGAGCCCAGGAGTTTGAGGTTGCTGTGAGCTAGGCTGACGCCACGGCACTCACTGTAGCCTGGGCAACAAAGCGAGACTCTGTCTCAAAAAAAAAAAAAAAAATTTTAAATGGAAAAAATATTCTGAAAAACAGAGCCATTATTTTATAGCAGCCGCATCAGGGCCTCAATGGAAGCCACGGGGCCAGGAGTCAGGGGACAAGGCTTGTTCCCAGCAGTGCCGCCAGCCAGTGGCTGTGGGCGTTTCCATGACTGCAGAAGCCCAGGGTCCCCTGGGCAGTGCGGGGAGATGGACAAACGGACACATAGGCGGCGGGAGGAGACCCCTGGGGGCTGGAGCACCCAATGTGCTGCCAGGTGGACAGCGCCTGGCTGGAGCTGGCACTTCGTAGGTGCCTGGTGAGAGGGTGGAGCCCAGGGCCTGTGGCCGCGTCGTCAGCTGCCCTGGGACCCACGTGTGAGAAGTGGCACCTCACTACAGCCCCTGGGACTCTGTGGTCTGGAGCGGGAGGGTCTCTCTGAGAGGGATGGGCCACATCAAGTCTGAGGACCTGGGGGCAGGACAGACGGAGGGGCCGATGTCCTCCACCACCTGGGGCCAGGCCATCAGAGGGACAACTGCCCGTCACTCGGCTGCCCCACTGGGGCAGGTACAGCGTTGTCCAGCTGCCAATGCCAGCCGCCAGGGTCCATGGTGATGGGTCCCACGGGCAGGGGCTTGTGGCTTCACTAGGCTTGGGGGCTGTGTAGGTGGCCGCTGGCTCCCAAGTCTTCTCTGGCCCAGCCCCCAGCACTTTCAGGAGCTCTGGGTAGGGGCCTGTCCTCTGTTCAGTCCCTCAGGGTGCAGAGATGACAGCTCCCCAGAGGCATGGAGTGTCAGGTCTGGAAGGGAGTTGGCGCTTCTAGTCGAGCCTGAGACTCTGATGTTCAAGGGGCTGAGGCTGGGGCCCTCATCTCCCAGGAACGGCTTGGTCCCCCCCATCTCGGCACCCCACAATTGCACCTGGGCGGCTGTGAGTCCATCAGCCCTGCCCTCACGGGATCTGTCACCTCGCCCCACGCTCCTGCCCAGGGCCTGGGTCAGGGGGCTTCCTCCGTTCCTGCCCCGCCCCACCACGCAGAGGCCTGAGCCCGCCCGCAAGACCGCCCGGTTGCCCGTACCTGCCATGGGAACAGACAGGATGTCCGGCTCCCGGAGAAACACTGCTCAGCTGGGGCTGGGCTGAGGGCGGGCGGGGCTGCCACCCCAGGGTCCACCGCTGGGTGGTTGGCTGCCTCTCCTGGTGTCCGGGTCCACTGGGAGCAGCAGGCCAGCCCCGAGGCCTCATGCGGTCCCCAGGCTCTTGGCAGGATTGTTCTTGCCTCCTTGATCAGCCTCCATCCACGGCCCCACGTCGTGGTTTTGCCACTTGAGCGGGACACTTGGTCTCCGCAGGTGAGACGTCAGCTCTGGTGCGTACAGGGCCCCTTCTCCAAGCCACTGTCAGACTGTGCTGTCCGAGGCCACCAGCTGGGCTCGTCCAGCTCTGGGGCGGCGCTGCTCGGGAGGAGCGCAGGTGGGAAGGTTCTGACGTTGCAAAGCCACCTCTCCTCCCTCCCCATCCTCCCTCCCCAGCCAAGGGCCCCCAGCCATTCCTGATCAATGGGCCCAGGCTTGGGGGTGGGGCCCATCTTGGCTGAGTGTTCGCAGGGGCCCAGCTGGCTGACTAGAGGGGCACGGTGCCTTTGGGAGGTTGGGAGGCAGCAGTGGTGGCAGCAGATCCCGGGCTGAATGCGAAGGCAGTGCCCTCCCGTCATCACTCAGACCCCTGACCCGGGTGGCCAGCCCGTAGCTAGTGTGGAGCTGTCCAGGACGTCAGGAGACACCAGGGGGCAGCAGCGAGTGGCGTCAGCCCAGAGCCCCCACGCTGGGCGGCAGGAAGCATAAGTCCTCCTGACAGCTGGGCCCGATGAGCAGTATGACGACACTAGCAGGTGTCTACAGTCTCCGTGCCTCAGTTTCCCCAACTGGCCTAAGCGCATAATCTCTTCTGCCTGGGATGGTCTAGCCCAGCCCCGCCTGGAGCTGCGGGCAGTGCCCTGCATAGCCCCGGTCAGGCTGCGGGCAGAAGCTCCGAGGCTGGCCTGGGTGGGAGGTGGGTGTCGGCTCTGCTGGGGGCCTGTCAATTCCCTCCAGCGCCACGAGCACCTTCCCCAGGCTGCCACCCCCTGTCCTGGGGCCAGGCACACAGGGGATGTGCTGATCGCTGGTCAGGAAGGCAAAGGGGGTGGGGCTCCCCCTCAGCTGCTGCCACCCTTGGCTGAGAGTGCCCTTGGCCATCTGACCCTTGCCAACTGGCCCTCAGTGGGTCATCCGGCTGGGCCACCGCAGGTCAGCCCAGTCTGGGAGGGAGGTCCCCAAGCCAGAGCACCCAGGCTGGGCCAGGCGGGCTCCACTGGCATCCCCGAGGCCAGCTGGGCCACCCCACGCCTCTTCCAGAGTCCTGTGCTGGGGACACTAGGTTGGCAGAGGCTCTGATCCCTAAAAGGGGGCGTGGAGGCCTGAGGGTGGGAGGGGTTGCTTCTCTGCGAGTGTGACGCTTGGGGCCCTCCTGGCCCCTCGTGCCAGGGGCAGACCTCCTCCCTGCAGTTCCAGATGCCTGCAGCTCAGTGCCCCGCGCCCCAGACTGCAGCCTGCAGAGCTGGCTGGGATCCCATGGGGGGTGCCCAGGGCCTCGAAGGGCACAGACCCACGCCCAGCTGTGTGGGAAAGGCTGCCACCAGCTCTGAGTGTGACGGAGGGTCCCAGCAGCTCCCAGAGGCCACCCGGTGAGAGGCAGCCGTGCTGCCCTGTCCCAGGACTCAGTGCGGTGGGTGGGAATGGAGAGGTGCTGGAGGGGCTGAGGGGATCCATACCAGCCTTGGTGGCTCCCCCTCAGCCGAGACAACCCAGGGGCGGGCCAGCCTGGAGTTCTGTTGGCTCTTGACATGTGTGTGCGTGCACACGCGTGCACACGCCTCTAACGTGTGTGATGGGGAACACACACACGTGCACACGAGCACACTGACACTGCAGTCCACACGCACCCACATGCACACGGAAGCCTGTAGACCTGTCACCATGCAAGCGCACGCACACAGCTCCTGTGCACAGAGACTCGCCACACAGACACACCCCGCCCCCCTGCACCCCTCCCTGTTGGTCTGCCCTTCCTGCCCCTCATCCATCTTGCCTGCCAGCCCGTCCCTGGTGCCCCGTATCCTTCACACCTTCTCATTTCGCTGCTCAATACCAGGAGGCCGGGTGGCAGCCATGGCCGCGGGGAGACGGATGGGCCGGCGGGGTGTCAGGGTCCAGGGAGTGATGTCTCGAGAGGAGGGGGCTCTGGGCCCCAGCGTCCCCGGCTGTCCAGCCAAAGCCCGCTGGGTTCGGGCAGGTGTGCGCGGTGTGAGGCTGCGGCCGGCCCTGCCGAGTGTGTCCGGCTGTGAACACCCTGCAGGTGCCTGTGTCAGGACGAGGGACCCCCCCCCCCGCCCCCGGCAGTGCACCCTATGCGAGGTTCTGCCCCCAAGGCCAGCGTGGGGCGTGCTGGGGATGGCGGAGGCGGCAGACAGGAGCTGCAGCTCCCAGGGAGTCCTTCCTCTGCCCCAGCCAGGCCAGCTCCTCCGGCATCTCTGCGCTGGGCGGTTGTCCTGGCTGGGAGAGCCTTGGCCAGCGGTCGCCCGTCTGGGCTGTGCACCCAGCCACACACAGGTCCCCTCAGAACGCCCGAGGTACTGAGGCTCTCAGAAACACACGTGTATGGAAAAATGCACACACACGCACACACGTACACGCACACACGTACACGCACACCCCAAAGAGCACATGGGACAGGCACATGGGTTGGGGGCCGCCTCTGGGTTGCGGCCTCCTCTGAAAGCCCCCCTGCCAGCTCCAGGACGGTCCCCTCCGCACCACCAGCCCCAGTACATGCAGACCTGCCCAGATCCTGCGGCAACCCCTCCCTTCACCCCCCTTCCCCCATTCACTCTCCCGCAGAGAGCGGCCATGCCGGACAGGGACACGAACCACGGACTGTATTTTCCATTTTACACAATGGGAAACTGACACCTGCGCTCAGGGGGCCTGGCAGGTGCACAGCATGCGGCAAAAGGGGACCGCGGGCTCAGAACCATGCCTGAGGACCCACTGCTCAGATGGGAAGGCTGAGGCTGGGCAGGTGTGGCTTGGGTTAGGGAACCGGGCTGGGGGCGGGGGTCAGCGAGGGCAGGGCCGGCACAGAGAACGTGAGCTTCTCCGTCTGGATGAAGGCAATGCCCTTCTCATAGTAGGCGGCCTCGTTAATGAACACGGGGAACACGGTGGACTCCCCTTCATAGAGCACGTCCTCGCCGCCGAACGTCTGGAAGATGGGAGCACCCGGCCGCAGCGGCTCGAAGTCTCGGTCCTGGGAGGACAGCCAAAGGCCAAGGTTGCTGGGGCCGACCTCTGCCCTGACCCCAGCTCAGCACCCACAAGATGCCCCTCCCTCGGGACCTCTCCCCGTCACCCGTCACCTCCTCGATCCATGTGTCGGGGGCCGGTGAGATACCAGCCTGGTCTGAGTTTAGAAATGGGGACACCAGTCACCTTGGAAAGACGTTTGTCATTGTGGGAGTGGAGCACGGTTATGGGCGCAGATAGTAAAACCTGGGTTCAAATCTTTGCTAACATGTGACCTTGAGCAAGTCACTGAACCTCTCTGTTCCTTAGCTTTCTCATCTGTAAAATGGGGATCATAGTATCTCCTCCTATCCTTCTGAGGCTTAAATTAAATGGGTTAACTGTAATTAAAACAGTATCTGGCATACCATAAGTACAGCATAATATTCTATTAAATAAATTTTAAAATTATAGGAGAAACCATCCAAAATGACTTATGACTTAACATCAGCAAGGTAGATGAGCAGGACTGGCTTAAGCCCCCCTAACACTGAAAGGACATTGGTGCTCCCTCCTGGGCAATGTCATTACAAGTGAGATAACACCTCAAAATAAAACTGCAGGGACAAAGGCCACGGGACTGCACGGGACTCTACTCAACAGCCACCTCGTGTGGCAACAAACACAGCAGCAGCCAGTGGGCCGCAGTTCTCCCCAGCCGCCCATCCCCAAGGTAAGAAAGCAGGATTGCCCCATCCTGGAACATTCGGGAAGGGAAGGCCTGGAGAGAGAGACACCGGACAACCTTCTGGGCAGGCATGAGGAGGCTCGTGGAGTCAATTGGAAGGAAAACAGGGAGACAGCCCTGTATTTGCACCTCCAAGCGGGTAAATTGAGTCATGACTGCTCCACATCCCTCCCTCCCTCTGCCTTCTGCAGCCAGGGGGAGGCCGCCCTCCACGGGAGGTGCCAGGGGCTGCGTGTAGGGGCTTCGGGGAAAGCAGTGGGGGCAGGGCAAGGGTCGGGGACGGAGCCCAGTGTCGTGTCCCCGCTCCTGAACCTGAGCTGCTGGTGACCCTGTGGGAGGCTTGGCTCCTCTGGGACTCAGTTTTCCCTGACATCCCCCAGGGCTGTGGCTCCGGAAGTCTGCCCCCGCCACACACACGCACCTGCAGCTGAGGGTGCACGGTGCCTGCCAGGTCCCCGTCCTGGGTGCGTGGGAAGTCCACGGTGCCCGAGACGCTGTAGGCTTCCGCCTCAAAGGCAGGAAAGGCCGTGCCTGTGCGGGAGGCTGGGTGTGTGAGCCCGTCCCTCCCGCCAGGCTAGCGGGCAGAGTGGGCTGTGGGGCCACTGCGAGCCTGGCTGCCTGGCCCCCGAGCCCGGTGGGCTCTTCTCTGGACCTCAGTTTCCCGCAAACCCCCCGGCTCTCACCCTGATTGAAGAGCTCGATGAAGTCCAGACATGCGGCCACCAGGGCCCTCATCCGGGAGAAAAGGTCGGCCCGCAGCACGCCCTGAGGCTGGGGGCCCAGCTCCAGGCCTGGGGACCCGGAGGGTAGGGGTGAGGCAGGCACCCAGGACAGTTGCCAGGCCTCAGACATTAGGGTCCTACTCACAGAGGCCCCGCCCTCTGGCCCTGGCTCCGCCCCAGACCCTTGGTCCCACCCCCTTCATCCCCAGGCCCCACCCTTTCCATTCCCCTGGCCCCGCCCACTCATCAGAGGCCCACCTATTCCATTCTTGGCCACCGAGGCAATGGCGTAGCTCTCCTCCCCTGGCTGCTGGTACAGGAAGACCCGGCAGGACAGCTCTGGCTTCTGCAGCTGAGGGTGGGAGGGGCGTTAGGGCCCCAGCCCTACTCGGGAGGGGAAACTGAGGCGGAGTAGGGGAGCATGCAGGAAGCACAGGGCACCACCCTCCCACCTGGCCCTGTCTGTCCTCTGGCTGGGGCTGGGGTTCTAGAGGGCCTGGAGGACTTGCAGGAGCCAGGCCTCAGGAACTGGAGCCCAGGGGAAATGAGGGCCAGGGAAGAGGGGCCAAGCAGAGGGCCACCATCCCCTCTGCCCCCTCCCCCCTCCCTCTCTCTGCTCTCTGGGGGCTGGGGGGGGCTGGGGCCACCTGCAGGTGGTGGCACAGGTGCATGGCAAAGACGTTGTGGGCGTTATCGGCGATGAGGCAGGTGCCCATGTTGGCGGTGGTATTGTGCAGATCAAGGATGAAGTCGAAGGCCTGGCCCGAAGCTTTGGGCCCCAGCAGCTGGTTTAGCTCTCGGGCTCTTGTCACCTCGTATGGGTCATCCGGGCTGGCCCTGGCTCTGCAGGGCACAGGAATGGGGGATACAGGTCCCCCACAGTCCCAGTCAGCCGTCAGTGGCTTAACGGCAGGAGGCCCTGCAGGAAACACTCAGGGCAGAGCAAAGGAGAGCCTGGCTGTGCTCACTGCTGTTCATGGCCCTCACTGGCTCCCAACTTCCCCATGAAGTCCAAGCCTCACCTGCTGTCACTCCAGCCACAGTGCCAAGCACCATGCTGGTCTCACCCCCAGGCCTTTGCTCTTCTTGGGCCCTCCACTGGAAACTCCTCACCTCTCTTCACCTGGCTAGCTTTTACTCACCCTCTGGGGCTTGGCTGAGATACTGCCTCCTCTAGGAAGCCTTCCCTGACTGCTCTTGGCCAGGTTCCAGGCTTTGTGTAGCTCCCACCCCTGCATTGAGCCTCCTGGGCTGTGGTTGCTGGGCTCATCCTCCGTCTCCCCATTAAGCTGAGGCCAACACCTTGGTCCTGTTCCCCATTCTGTCTGAACTGGCCAGAGCCTGGCCTGGAGGTGGGGCTCAGAGAATATCCCTTGGAGGAAGGCATGAACAACAGCTGGGGCACAGGGCAGGCCAGCAGCCTCCGGGCCTGATCTGAGGGAAGCTCTGGGTCTGGGGAACCCAGAGGAGGGCATGGCCCGGCCTATGGGAAGGAGGGGCTTCCTGGAGGAGGTGACATTGATCTGGGTTTCTCTGAACTTTCCATTCCTGGGCATCACAGGCAGAGGGGCAGCAGAAGGGAAGGCGGGGGATGCCCTGCGAGTGGCTGGAGGGGCAGTTTCTGGTGGGGACTCTGCTCAACTGCCCGGGCCAGGGGTGGCGAGGGCTCTCACGTGAGGAAGGTAGTGGTGAAGGTGCGGTTGAGGTCGCGGTCCACGTAGCGGCGGCAGGCGGCTGTGGCTGCCGGGTTGGCCAGCACCGGCGTGGCAGAGAAGCTGGGTCTCTGCAGGTCCCCCGGGGCCTGCAGCCAGTGCCTGGCCAGGTAGACGCCGGACATCTCGTTGCCGTGCGTGCCCCCAGTCACAGCCACGCGGCGCAGGGGCTGCCGGGGCACAGGCAGCGAGCACATCCTGGTGCAGGCTGGAGCTCCTGGTGGGTGGGCACACTTAGGAGACCGAGGCCTGGACACAGGGACCAGTGCTCAGAGCTGGGATGGTGGTGGTGAGCTCCCTGGGGCCTGAGGAGTCCGAGCCGGGCAGGGCAGCTGCCTGTCACGAGGTGCAGCCAGACGGTGCTGTCAGCTGTGTCCCACCTGCACCCCCAGCGGCACAGCTCCAGGGCGCCCTCCGGAGGGTTCTCCCACCTAGCGCCAAAGTCCCTCCATGAGCACCTTCCTCTGGGGGTGAGCACTGCCCTCCCGGCCTTTCTCTCCGGAGCCAGGGTTCCTGCTCCTTTGGAGAGAAGTTTCTTTTCTTTTTAAATGTTTTTACATATATTTTTGGTCGTCCAGCTAATTTCTTTCTATTTTTTTTTTTTTCAGTAGAGACGGGGTCTCAGGCTGGTTTCGAACTCCTGAGCTCAAACGGTCCTCCCACCTCGGCCTCCCAGAGCGCTAGGATTACAGGCGTGAGCCACCGCACCCGGCCCGGAGAGAATTTTCTTTCTCCTAAATTGAGAAGAGGGGCCCAATCACGGGGGAGAGGGATGCCCCGGCCGCACTCTTACAGGAAGAGGAACATGCTCCTGCTGCATGGACAGGGACACTGAGGCCCCACATAGCAGTGGAGAGTGTCACGGAGTTAGCTGTGGAGTGTCTGGTTCCAGGTGACCCCTGCGTCCCCCTGCCTCTCCCGCCTGCCCTGCTGAGCTGGCGCAGGGGCCTTACGGAGCGGAGTGGCACTTACCTGCTGATTGGGGCCTGGGCCTCCCGGGCAGCCAGGGCTGCAGTGCCCAGCTCCCGGACGGCGGGTATTTATGGGCCTGGAGATCCTGGGCAGGAAGCGTTTGTGTCCAGTTGGCGACAGGACGGCAGGGCGGGCGGGGCTGGCTGAGGTCCCCGCCCCCGCCTGGCGGCGCCTTACCCTCCAGGTCGCACCCGTGGAGTCCAGGTCCAGCAGGCAGGTTGCTGTCCCTGCCCTTGGTCCCTCCTCTGGGAATGGGGACAGCCCCACCTCCAGGGGCCAGGTAGGGCTCCCGCTGCAGAGCTGCACGTGGCCTTGGAAAATTATTTGCAGGGATTCTTTAAGGCCTGGCATGAAGACAGCCTCCCCCAGAGAGGATTTTCTGGACCGCTGGGTACGGGGGTGGGGGAGGGGGATTACAGTGTAGGTGTCCAGCCCATGGTGGCCGGGCCTGGAGTCCAGCCTGGAGCCCCTGGCGGAGCCCCGGGCTGAGTCTGCCCAGAGGGGGCACATTCCTTCACGTCACTAGGTAGGCCAGCAGTGGGGTGGTGACTTGGTTTTGGCCACCACCAGACCAGGCCACTGGTTACTACTGAGGCATGACCTCCCAGATGACAAGTCCCCTTCCTCCTCTGCCTCAGCAATGTCCTTCTGTGCTTGCAGCTCCCGGAGGGGCATGGTCACTCCTGGGTCACCCTTACCTAAGGGTGTGCCCTATGGGGTCCAGTTTTACAGCTTTTTGGTACTTTAAACAAAATTTCAAAATGTTTCATGAAGTATTTTGGGTTGTTTTTAGGGACAGTATAACTCAAATGACTCAGTGTGCTGTTCTGGAAGTGACCCTCAGACCCATTTTGTAGATGTGGAAACTGAGGCTCTGATGGAATGACTAAAGGCACACAGAGCTCTGGAGGCAGAACTGGGGCTGGAACCCAGGGTGTCCCCTCTACCCTACCCCCCACCCTGCTGCCTCTCAAGGGGCAAGCCGGGAAGGACCAAGGCAAGGTCCCCCTACCCAGCCCTGGGGCCCGGCCCTCCCACCAGGCTCAGCTGTCTGCTGGGAGGAGCTGAGGACAGTCCAGAGGTCACTGAAGAGAGGCAAGGCTGGGCCAGGGGGCCCTGAGCTTGGGCCTCCTGCTGGCTCTGCTCCCAGCCCTTCTTCACCACCAAACGTGGGTCTTCCCAGGCTGGCCCAGCCTGCTCCATCTGGCCAGGCCACCAGCCCTGGGGCCTCCGGCTGGCCGGGTCCCTCTAGGCTGAGCCTGTCTGAAGCCTCCCGGGTCCCACGCAGCTCTTTGTGTGGCGGGGCTCTCCCGCCCCCCACCCCGCAGGAGCTCATGGGGACAGTGGTTCATCCTTGCACCCCTCGGGACAGTGGGACCGGGACAGGTTGCTGGAGGGGTGGGGGAAGGTGAGGCTGGGGCACCAAGAGGGCCAGGGCTCCCTCGGAGCTCCCTGGGGGGCCATCCCCCCACCCCCCGGCTCTGGAACCGCAGCCAAAGGAGGGCAGAGACGACCATGGGCCGTGCTGACGTCCTCCGAGTCCTTCATGTCGGCTCAGTTTCGCAGGTGTGGCAGGAGGCGGAGGCAGTTGGCAGAGGAGCCTGTGAGCCCCCCAGTCCCGCTCTGCTCAGGGCAGGGTCTCAGGCCACCCCTGCTTTATCAGCCCCAAGCCTGGGTCTTTGTTCTAGACACCACCCAGGCTGCGGGCGCTGCTGACCCGGGTGGCCTCTCAGGAGGGAAGGGCCTGCTCAGCACACCCGGCTATTTTGGGGGCTGCTGGGGGCCAGGGAGCTTCCTGTCAGGAGGTCCTGGGGAGGACAGTAGTAGGGGTTCTGGAAAGTTCCACTTCCCTTGGCTGCAGCCCAGCTTCCCCGTTTTGGTGGGTGTCTATAGACGGGAAGGGGGGCCTGGAGCCGGAGCAGGAACCTTCAGAAACAGCAGCCCCCGATCCCGACAGAGTGTGTGCACATGTGTGTGTGCGTGTGTGTGCATGCCTGTGCGCCCACGTCTGGGAATGCGTGCCTGAGTCTGCACGTACCGGCAGGCGTGCAGCGGCGTGAACAGTCTGGAGGGGCCGAGCCCCACCTCAGCCCCAGCGGGTAGAGGGGCCACCCCGGCCCTGGCCCCATCCCTGACGGGCTGTGCACTGGAGAGAGTCGGGACTCGCTGGGCCTCGGCTTCTGCCCGGGACGTGGGGCCGAGCTCTCTCCTGGCCCAGGGCAGCTGCGAGAAATGAGGGGCACAGGGCGGGCTCGAGCCTGGAGACAGGGCAGCCCGTGGCGTGGGTGAGGGCAGAGGACAGTAGCACGGGGGGCATCAATGGGTCCAACTTCTTCACTGCAGTTGGGGAAACCGAGGCCCAGAAAGGGGTCAGAACCTAAGTCAGCCCAGGAGTCTACAGCTTGTCCCAGGAGGGCGTGTGGGGCCTCCTGCCTGGGCTCTAACTCCCCTCTCTGCTTGCCCCCGCTGCAGCCTTGTACCCCATGTTGCCAAGGGCCTGACAATCTCTCCCCAACTCCCTGGCCTGCCCGGTGCTCCACCCTTCTGGAAATCCTTGCTTCTTATGGCCTCGGAGAGAGGACATTGCTGTCTGCTGCTCGGCCTCCAGAGAGCCTGTGGCTGTGGGGGGCCCCAGAGCCCGGTGCTGGCTCCCTCCTCTGCCACCCCTTTCCAATGGCCGCAAACACCATCTGTCTGCTGATGACTCCGGTTCACACCCCAGATGCCACTCTCACCTGGACAGCAGTACAGACGCACGGCTCAGCCCTGTCCTCAGAGGGCTCACGTGGTTGGCTGGGGGGATGGGGCAGAGAGAGCAAGCCGGACAGGACAGTGGGGCAGCGCCGTCTCCCCCTCCCTCCTGCGCCCTCTCGGATACACACCTGCACGCTCGTCCTTCAATAGTTCACCCACAGGCATTCTGGGGGCTGCTCGTGCGCCAGCTCTGCCTGGGTATTGTGGACACATTGCGAACTAACCCATATTTCTGCCTTCGCGGATCTCACTGTCCAGCAACCCGACTCTTACCTGGGCGTAGACAGCATGGATTTCAGTCCCCAGCACTTGGGGGTAGTGAACGTGTCATTTCTTCCTATATTCCTCCAGAGCGCATTGGAAACTCCTGAGCCCATTTGCAGTGGTCGGTGCTACTGCGACCACTACGGGAGGTGGCCCCTTGGTCATGCGTCATCCATCTCCTACATGGTGTCAGGAAAGAACCTGGGATTTCTCTTGTGCCCCAAATCAGGAGGCGGGGCTGGGTGCTGGTCCCCAGTGGCCTCCATCTTCATCGTAGCTGGTCAGCTCCATGGCGGGTGCTGCCAGGGGGCCGTTGCCCTGGGCACCACACAGATCCCCCGACCCTCGTGCCCCAGCCAGCCACACACTGGGCACAGGTCCACCTGCACTGTCTGCCTTGCCAGGCCTCTCCACAGCCTGTTCCTGGGGCCCTGGCCTACCCTTTCCCACCAGCCTGGTGTCCTGGGGTCGGGGCAGGAGGACTCACCCCATATTGTCATTTTTCTTATCAGCCACTCTAAACTGGGGCCAATTACCACATAAACGTGGAACCAGCATCTATGGGTGAATCTGACCCCTGACCCCCACTGGGATCACCCCCAAGCCTCCTGGAAGCAGGACGCTGTGACTGATGGACAAGGAGGGGCTGCCGTCACAACCTTAAGACTGTAACGTGGTCCTGGGACGCTCTAGGATGTGTGTGGCTGAGGCCATCTCTGCAGCCAGGGCATCGGTACCCAAGGATGACTCAGTTGCACCCCAGAGTGGGGACGCCAGGGCCCTAGAACCCACTGACTGCTCACACCAACTCTAAGTGACAGATGGGAACCCCACCCTACAAGATAAATGTCCACCTAAAAGGAAACTCAGGGCCAGGTGCGGTGGCTCACGCCTGTCATCCCAGCACTCTGGGAGGCCAAACCAGGAGAACCGTTTGAGCTCAGGAGCTTAAACTCAGAAGTTCAAAACCGGCCTGAGCAAGGGCAAGCCCCCTTCTCTACTAAAAATAGAAAAATTAGCCGGACATGGTGACTGGCTCACACCTGTAGTCCCAGCTACTCAGGAGTCTGAGGCAAGAGGGTCACTTGAGCCCAGGAGCGTGAGGTCGCAGTGAGCCATGATGACACCACGGCACTCGGGCTCTCCGGAACAGACGAGTTTATTTGGGAAGATTGCAAAGGACCACAATCCTGCGTACGCTATGACGGGGCGGGGGCAGGGGGGGGTGTTACATTAAAGGGCAAGATTTGAAGACAAAGAGAAGTCCACGTAAACATAAGCTGCTTTGAAACAAGGTTCACCGACCACAGCTCATTGCAGGAGCTGTGTGTTCATCAGTGGAGACGCTGTTGGGTCCCTGTCCTTGTGCGAGCGTGCTCTCGGGGACACCACTCTCTTGAGGAAGCTCTTGTCACACGTCCTCTCAGCGGTCTACGTGCACTAGTGTCTTGGGATAAGTCCTGTCACAGGCACGTACTCGTGAAGGGTTCCTCACAGCCTCCCCGGACTCCGTTTTGTGAGCGTGTGACCTAAGTGACTCCATTTTGGTTCCGGCAACTTTCACATAGGGAAACTGAGGCTTGGAGAAGTTAAGGGACTTGCCCATGGGCACCCAGTAAGGCTGCAGCAGTGGAGTGGTGCAAACCGAAGCTTTCCAGGGGGATGGGGCCGCCGTGGGAGCCTGAGGGGGCTGCAGAGCCCCAACGGGTGTGGGGGAGTCCCTGGGAGGGCCGTGGCAGGGAGCTGGGGGGAGCGGAGGGGGAGGGGAGCTGGAGGACGGAGCAGCGCAAGGCCGGAGGGGCTCAAGGCCCTGCATAGCTCGGTGTGGCCGGCACCGTCTTTGCTCAGTGTCTGGGTGACGCTGCCTCCAGGACTGGGCCCGTCAGCCGCGACCAAGAGAGTGAAGGGCTGGAATTGGGGAGGCTGGGGTGATGGGGACACCGGTTGCACTTTGCGGCCCCCCAGCCCCCTTCCTGTGACTCTGCGCCACCAGTCCGAGGCCCTGAGGGTCTGGGCCGGGAGGGGCTGTGAGCAGGCGGGAGGGATGCTCACAGCAGGGTGCAGCTCCGGGACGCCAGG